GACCCTTAGTAACAAGGGACTGGAGCCAGTGTGTGTCCAGCCCTTGCTGTGCGGCGGGCGCCGTGTGGTAATCAGCATGTCACTCATAGACACTCCTCTAGTCCTTTCCAAATCCCTGAGACATAGTCACACAAACATCTCCATTTTACAGGTGAGGATGTAGAGCCCTAGAGAGCTCGAGTAACTGCCTCTGGATCACGTGGCTCCTGAGAGTTGGGAGCTGGGATTGGAATCCCACAGTCAGGTTCTAGAACCCATGCCCTGGCCCTATAGTTCAGCCTCAGCCCGAATCATCATCATCATAGTAACGGCGGTAGCAGGCAGTATTTCTTTCTTTTCCTTTTTTCCTTTTTTTTTTTTTTTTTTTTTTTGAGACGGAGTCTTGCTCTATCGCCCAGGCTGGAGTGCAGTGGCGCAATCTCGGCTCACTGCAAGCTCCTCCTCCTGGGTTCCTGCCATTCTCCCGCCTCAGCCTCCCGAGTAGCTGGGACTACAGGCACCTGCCACCATGCCCAGCTAATTTTTTGTATTTTTAGTAGAGACAGGGTTTCACCGTGTTAGCCAGGATGATCTCCATCTCCTGACCTCGTGATCCTCCCGCCTCGGCCTCCCAAAGTGCTGGGATTACAGGCGTGAGCCACCATACCCGGCCAACAGGCAGCATTTCTTAAGCACTTACTGTGCCCCGGGTATGGTTCCAAGCGCTTTGTCAACTTGTTTAATCCTTATGACAACCCATCGTCTGGCCCCCTCGTGTGGATCAGGAAGCAGTCCAGAGTGGAGGAGGGAGGAGACTGAGCAGGGTGTCGCTGGGGCTGGACCGCAGGAGTCTCCATCCCGCTTCCGCAGGTGGATAGTGACAAGGGGATCTCCCTTCGCTTCCCTCGGTTTATTCGGGTCCGTGAAGACAAGCAGCCGGAGCAGGCCACCACCAGTGCACAGGTGAGGCCCTGGGAAGCAGGCCTGGGCCGCCCAGCTGCTTGGCCCTGCCAGCTTTTTAGCGTGGTGGCCTCTGGAACCTTGTGGAAGTGGGGACAGCCAGGGAGCTTCTGACCACCCCGTCCCACCCTGTCTCCGCAGGTGGCCTGTTTGTACCGGAAGCAAAGTCAGATTCAGAACCAACAAGGCGAGGACTCAGGCTCTGACCCTGAAGATACCTACTAAGTCCTTGGCCTCCTAGGGCCTGGGTACAGGGCATGAGTTGGACGGAACCCAGGGTTATTATTGCCTTTGCTCTTTAGCAAATGTGCTGTGGCAGCCTATGGTTTTTGAGAGTCAGGGGAGGGGAGTGTGTGTGAGGGGGTGGCTTACACCGGAGTCTGCGATTCATCCTATCATTTCTTTCAATAAATAATTATCGGATAGCTACTTTGTGACAAGGTCTGTGCTGGGCTCTGGGGGCAAAGCTCTCATGGGTGTCACTTGCATAGCATGTAGCAGTGGCCTAGGAACTGCCAGAGCCAGCACCAGCCATGGAACTGCCTGCAGTGGTGGGCATCTTCTGTATCTGCTCTGTGCAGTGTGACCGCCACTGGCCACCTGCAATGCTCGAGCACTTGACAGGTGGCCAGCATGGCAGAGGATGCGAATTCGTTTTGTTTTGTTTTGTTCTGTTTTTGTTTTGAGACAGAGTCTCACTCTGTTGCCCAGGCTGGAGTGCAATGGCGAGATCTCAGCTCACTGCCACCTCCACCTTCCAGGTTCAAGTGATTCTCCTGCCTCAGCCTCCCATGTAGCTGGGATTACACTAATGTGACACCACGCCCGGCTAATTTTTGTATTTTTAGTAGAGATGGGGTTTCGCTATGTTGGCCAGGCTGGTCTTTAACTCCTGGCCTCAAGCGATCCACCCTCCTTGCCCCGCTAAGTGCTGGGATTACAGGCATAAGCCACCCCGTCCTGCCATGCCAAATATTTTATTTAATTGTATTAGACAGCAGTAGTCTAAAATCTTTACATCCATATGTTTTTTAACTTGTTTAACCTTCCAGCCATCCCACGGGGAGGCACCATCATGAACCCTGTTAAGGAAGACAAACGCAGTTTCTTAAAATAAGCCACATGTATTCTCTTACAGTTCCAGAGGTCAGAAGTTCAAAATCACTTTTACTGGGCTAACGTCAAAGTGGTGGCAGGGCCGGTTCCTTCTGGGAGCTCCAGGGGAGAAACTGGGTCCTTGCTTTTCCCAGCTTCCAGAGGCTACCTGGTTCCGAGGCTCATGGCTTCTTCCACTGTCCTCAAAGCTAGCAGCATCCCGCCTCAAATCTCTCTCCTGAGGTCATCAGGTCACCTCCTCTCCTCCATCAGATCTCTGCCTCTCTCTTCCAAGCACTCAAGTGGTTCCATTTAGGGCCCCCTGGATGATCTGAGATAATTTCATTTCAGGATCCTAACTCAATCCCAAAGTCCCTTTAGCCACATAAGATCATACATTGACAGAGGCCAGGCACAGTGGCTCACACCTGTAATCCCAGGACTTGGGGAGGCTGAGGTGGGAGGATCACTTGAAGCCAGGAGTTCAAGACCAGCCTGACCAACATGGTAAAACCCCATCTCTAATAAAAATACAAAAATTAGCCAGGCATGGTGGTGCATGCCTGTAATCCCAGCTACTAGTGGGACTGAGGCAGGAGGATCACTTGAATCTGGGAGACAGGTTGCAGTGAGCCGAGATCATGCCACTGCATTCCAGCCTGGGGAACAGAGCAAGACTCCATCTCAAAAAAAAAAAAAAAAAAAAAAAAAAAATCAATTAAAGGTTTCAGTGATTAAGACCTGGATATCTCCGGGGAGGGGGGTGCTGTTATTATTCCAGCCACCCCACATGGGATGATATGTTAGAGGAAAACCATCAGGAAGTGGTCAGACAAGGCAAGCAGGATGCCTGGGACACCCGCCCAGCCCTGGGTACCACAGGGCTGGGTTGGGGAAAACAGGTACACTTGGGGTGGGGTCCAGGCTTGGGTCTTCTAGAGCAGGAGGCCTCTGACCTCGGGGCCCAGCGTGGAACATGAGCTTCTGGACAGGAGAGTGTCAGGATGTCCTGATACTCCCGCAGGAGGGACAAAGGGCTCCTAGCCGTCCCCCTGCCCCTCACACTCTGTTTCTCCCTCTTACATCTGCCCTCCCTTCTTCCCTTCTCTCTCATCAGGTTCCTCTGCCCTTGTCTCCCACCCGTCCTCTCTCCCCTTCCTTCTTTGTATCTGCGAGGCCTTGTTCCCTGCTCTGCAAGTCTGTGCCAGGCTCACTTTACTGTCTGTCACTGTGACTCTCACCCTCCCTGTCTCTCTTCCTGTGTCTCCATCATGGTCTCTTGCACACGCCATCTTTTGGGCATTTTGTTTCTATTTGTCATAGCCCAAGAATACAACATTGTCTTCCCATTCTCCTGGCTCGCAGTGGCCCTGTGGCCCTGTGTGGGCAGACCCAGGGGACATAAGCACAGGGGCTGCTGGGGGCTTCTGGAGAAACATCTTTCCTGACCAAAAAGGACAGCCCTGGTTGTGGCAGCTCTTCCCCTCCTCCTGCCTTGACTAGAGATGATGATGGCTGGAGCCAAGTCACCACCTTGTAATCATGAGGAAAAAGAAAGGAGAGTAACAGACTACCCCTGGCGACCTTAAGCCGGCGAGCCAAGGGCAGCAGCTGCGTAACTGTGGGCTTTTGTTCTTGGGAGTGGGGGAAGAAGTAGTCCCAGTGTGATTATGCCACTCGAAAACATGGCTTTCGGCTGGGCACAGTGGCTCATGACTGTCATCCCAGTGCTTCGGGAGGCCGAGGCAGGCAGATCACCTGAGGTCAGGAGTTCAAGACCAGCCTGACCAACATGGAGGCACCCCGTCTCTACTAAAAATACAAAATTAGCCGGGTGTAGTTGCACATGCCTGTAATCCCAGCTACTCGTGAGGGTGAGGCAGGAGAATCACTTGAACCCAGAAGGTGGAGGTTGCAGTGAGCTGAGAGCAAGCCATTGCACTCCAACCTGGGCAACAAGAGCAAAACTGTCTCAAAAAATAAAAAATAAAAAATGACTTGTTTCTCACAGCTAAGAGTTCCTGACACAGCTCTGCCTTAAAGAACTGGCAAATTAGTATGCATTTGTGTTTCAATTTCAAATAAAATATTTAAGGTAAAAAAAAAATACGTATTTAAATATTGTATATCAGGGGATCCTCATGTCACTGTCTGGCTCTGTGTGGAGATCCATGGTTCCCTTGGGCTTGGCTCTTCCCACACCAGTGCAGGGTCCCAGGAACACATCTCCTGCCACACATGGCCGCCATGTCCCTCCGCTGGAGCTGGGCAGGGTCATCCTCACTCCTCAGTGACCCTCATGATGGCTCCACCAGGTAGGTACTTTTTTCCTCCCCATTTAACAAGTGAGGACACTGAGGGGTGCAGGGATGTAAGTTACCTTCCCTAGGTCCACTATCTAGGAAGTGGTGGGCCAGGGTTTGGTCCATGCCGTCAGCTCCTTGACCCTGCATCTGTAACTACTAACTATACTGTGGAGAGCCTCGTGAGCTTCTGTGAGGTGCGGAACCTTATCCCACAGGTCGGGCAATGGCATGGTCAGGTCCAGGAGTGAAAAGATCCTGCAATGGCTGGAGTTGTGGGCATTGAAGAGATGAGCCTGGAGTTAGGGGGAGCAGGGGAAACCATCTTCCCCTGATGAAATCCTGTTCTAAAATTGGTGATACTCCTGCCTTGGCCTCCCAAAGTGCTGGGATTACGGCCTCATCTCTATTTTTAAAAAATAAGAATCAGGCCGGGTGTGGTGGCTCGTGCCTGTAATCCCAGCACTTTGGGAAGCCAAGGCAGGTGGATCACTTGAGTTCAGCAGTTCGAGCCAGCCTGGCCAATGCGGTGAAACCCCGTCTCTACTAAAAATACAAAAATAATCAGCTGGGCGTGGTGGCAGGTGCCTATATTCCCAGCTACTCAGGAGGCTGAGGTAGGAGAATCGCTTGAACCCAGGAGGCAGAGGTTGTAGTGAGCTGAGATCGCACCACTGCACTCCAGCCTTGGCGACAAAGAGTAAGACTCCATCTCAAAAAAAAAAAAAAAATTCAAAACCCATCAAGTTGGGATGTTTAGTGCTGGGCTTCAGGAAGAGTAGGCAGGAGGGTAGTATGGGAGGTTTCTAGGAGTCACTTCTGGAAGTGGCGCTTCCCACAGATGCTCCATTGCACTGACTGGAACTTGGTCACTTGACCACACCTAGCTGCAAAGGATGCTGGGAAATGTGGTTCCCTGTTGGGAGGCCACTTCTGGGCTTCAAGCCTTCACTGTGAATGGAGCTCACAGATTTTCTAAAAATTGACATTAAATGAACCAGACTTGGCCCCCAGGATCTGGCTCACTGCAACCTCTACCTCCTGGGTTGAAGCAATTTTCCTGCCTCAGCCTCCCGAGTAGTAGCTGGGATTACAGGCACACACCACCATGCCCGGCTAATTTTTGTATTTTTTAGTAGAGTTGGGGTTTCACCATGTTGGCCAGGCTGGTCTCAGAACTCCTAACCTCACATGATCCGCCCGCCTCAGCCTCCCAAAGTGCTGGGATTACAGGCGTGAGCCACCACGCCTGGCCTCAATATTTCTCTTTCTGGGTATTTGAGTATGATATTATATATGATGATTATTAGGCAGCCCATTGCATAGGAAGATTAGCTAAATCTGTTCTGAGGAATATTTATCTTCAATATAGTTCTATAACGACAACATTCTTTTTTTGAATACTGGTCTCGGGTGCCTAATGATAGAAGGGTGACATCATTAAGGAACCCTGGAAAGTCCCTCTTTCCACGTGATCCCACGGATGCAAATAGCTCTGGGTGAGCTTGGGAACAGCTGAAAAAGCTGGAGCAACCGAGCAGGGCCCACAAGCCGAGGAGGGCTGTATAAAAGCGCAGGGGGCATTTTACCTCCAGGTTGGCCCTGCTCAGGACCAGGAGGAAACACCTCCAGCCCGCGACCTCCCCCCACAGCGGGAAAAGGAAAGCAGGAGGACCACAGAAGCTTTGGCACCGAGGATTCCCGCAGTCTTCACCCACTGAGATCCCGGCTGAACGAGCTGTGCAGCGACTACATCGCTAAGCCCAGGGAGCCCAGCCCTCTGCTCCGGATTCCCGAGCACCCAGCTCCATTGCGCATGCGCACAAGCCCCAGACCAGACTCAGGCAAGCTGTCGGGGCGGGGAGGGCTGTTTCATCCCGCTGGGGCGGCTGTAACGAAGGACCAGAGATTGGGTGCAATTAAACAACAGGATTTTTTTCTTTTTCTTTTTTCTTTTTTCTTTTTTTTTTTTTTTTTGAGACAGAGTCTCGCTCTGTCGCCCAGGCTGGAGTGCAGTGACACAATCTCCACTCACTGTAACCTCCGCCTCCCGGGTTCAAGCCATTCTCTGGCCTCAACCTCCGGAGTAGCTGGGACTACAGGCGCACACCACCACACCTGGCTAATTTTTGTATTTTTAGTAGAGACAGAGTTTCACCATGTTGACCAGGCTGGTCTTGAACTCCTGACCTCGTGATCCGCCCCATTCAGCCTCCCAAAGTGCTGGGATTACAGGCGTGAGCCACTGCGCCCGGCCAGGAGTTTATTTTCTAACACTTCCGGAAGCTGGAAGTCCAAAATCAAGGTGTTGGCAGGGTTGGTTTCTCCTGAAGCCTCTCGCAGAGGCCCTAATCTCTCCTTATAAAACCAATAAAACCAAATTCCAGGCCACCCTCAGGACTCCACTTTAACTTAGTCACCTCTTTAAGAGCCTGTGTCTGGCCGGGTGCGATGAGTCATGCCTGTAATCCCAGCATTTTGGGAAGCTCTCTAGAGCCCAGAAGTTCAAGACCCGACTGGGTGACATAACAAGACCTGATCTCTACAAAACATAAAAAATTTAGCTGGAGATGGTAGCATGTGCCTGCACTTCCAGCTACTCGGGAGGCTGAGGTGAGAGACTCACTTGAGCCGGGGAGGCTGAGGCTGCAGTGAGCCACAATTGCATCACTGCACTCCAGCCTGGGTGGCAAAGCAAGACCCTGTCTCAAAAAGCAAGCAACGAAAAAGAATCTTATGTCCAAATACAGTCACATTCTGAGGTTCTGGAGGTTACAAGTCCAACACATGAATTTGGAGGTGGTGGGGGGAAGCCGATTAATTTCGTAACAGGGATCTTGAAACTGCCTTTGCAGAAATGAAAGTAATGAGAGAAAGCTAACATGACTGACCATCTTGTTTCTAACCTCACAGGCTAGATTTTTTTTTTTTTTTCTTATTCTAGTGCAGAGGCCAAAATTACCATGAGAGGAATTTAATTCATAGTTAAACTTTGAGACGAAGAAAACTGACCCCCAGTCCTTGTTGAGAAATTGAAGTCACATTCATTTACTTTTTATTTATTTATTTTTGAGACAGAGTTTCACTCTTGTTGCCCAAACTGGAGTGCAGTGGCATGATCTCTGCTCCCTGCAACCTCCACCTCCTGAGTTCAAGCGATTCTCCTCCTTCAGCCTCCTGAGTAGCTGGGATTACAGGCACCCACCACCATGCCCAGGTGACTTTTGTACTTTTAGTAGAGACAGGGTTTCACCATGTTGGTCAGGCTGGTCTCCAACTCCTGATCTCAAGTGATCCACCCACCTCGGCCTCTCGAGGTGCTGGTATTACAGGCATGAGCCACTGTGCCCGGCCTGAAGCCACATTCATAAGACAAGGTTAGAATCATGAAGGTGCTGGAACTTAGCTAAACAACAGTTGTGGGTTAAACAATGACCTGCCATCCCTTAGCTTCCTTTTCTATATGTGCTCCAGAGTCATGTAACCAGGGGTCGCAAGATCTATAACTTCCCCAGCCACTTCTGTAAATAACATCGCTATTGTGAAACCTACAGAACTCATCTTTTTAGTGGACTGTGGACTGTGGTAGCTAACACCTGTAATCCCCACTTCTTGGGAGGCTAAGGCAGGAGGATTGCTTGAGCCCAGGAGAACAAGACCAGCCTGGGCAACATAGTGAGACCTCAATCTCTACAAAAAAATTAAAACTTTGCCAGAGGCAAAGTTTTAGAGGCATGGTGGTGCATGCCTCTAGCCCCAGCTACTCAGGAGGCCAAGGCAGGAGGATTGCTTGAGCCCAAGAGTTGGAGGCTGCAGTGAGCTATGATTGTAAGGACCAGCCCTACAGGGTCTGTGGATCTTTCTCCCCGTGTGCAGAAATGAGAGATCGTAGAAATAAAGACACAAGACAGAGAATAAAAGACAGCTGGTCTGGGGGACCGCTACCACCAAGACGGGGAGACCGATAGTGGCCCCGAATGCCTGGCTGCGCTGTTATTTATTGGATAATAAGGGGCAGGGTAAAGAGTGTGAGTCATCTCCAGTGATTGATAAGGTCACGTGAGTCACGTGTCCACCAGACAGGTGGCCCTTCCCTGTTAGGTAGCCGAGGCAGAGAGAGGACAGCTTATGTCATTATTTCTTCTATGCTCTTTTCAGAAAGATCAAAGACTTTAATACTTTCACTAGTTTTGCTGCTGCTCTGTAGAGGGCGGAGCCAGGTGTACAGAGTGGAACATGAAAGTGAAACAGGAGCGTGACTGCTGAAGCACAGCATCACAGGGAGACGGTTAGGCCTCCCGATGGTTGTGGGCGGCTGACACCAGTCAGGCTCTCCACAAGAGGCGGTGGAGCAGTCTTAAGTAATGGGTGCTTTTTCTAGGCACTGACGTGACCGCTAGACCAAGGTCCGCTAGGCCATGGTCGTCTTCCCAGACGCTGGCGTTACCGCTAGACCAAGGAGCCCTCTAGTGGCCCTGTCCGGGCATGACAGAGGGTCACACTCCTGTCTTCTGGTCACTCCTGACCTCAAGTGGTCTGCCTGCCTCGGCCTCCCAAAGTGCTGGGGTTACAGGTGTGAGCCACTGCTCCTGGCAATAATGTTTTATTTTGTTTATGTTTTTGTTTTTTTAAAGAAAAAAAAAAAAACTTGTCTTTGAGATAGTTTTCAGAGTGAGCATTTTGGCAGACCAAGAGCTACCACCTGGTCCTGAGACCCACTCCCAGGAACTGACTCAGCCATACAAAGACAGTTTTGGACACCCCTGTGATTTCATCCGTACCTGATCAATTGTTTCAGTTCACCCAGCCCCTTGCCCACCAAAGTTTCCTTAAAAAACCCTAGCCTCAGGCTGGGCGCAGTGGCTCACGCCTGTAATCCCAGCACTTTGGGAGGCCGAGGCAGGCGGATCACCTGAGGTCAGGAGTTCGAGACCAGCCTGGCCAATATGGAGAAACCCCATCTCTACTAAAAATACAAAAATTAGCTGGGCATGGTGGTACGTGTCTGTAATCCCAGCTACTCGGGAGGCTGAGGCAGGAGAATTGCTTGAACCCAGGAGGTGGAGGGTGCAGTGAGCCAAGATCATGCCAATGTACTCCAGCCTGGGCAACAAGAGGGAAACTTCATCGAGAGAGAGAGGAGAAAAAGAGAAAGACAGAGAGGAAAAACCCTAGCCTCCAAATTTTCAGAGAGACGCGCTTGAAATATTTCTCCCATTCTCCTCTCTTGGCCGCCCCTGAGATTATTAAACTCTCCCTCTTTGCTGCAACACCTGCTCTTCACATTGATTTTGTCTGGACAGTGGACAAGAAGAACCCGTGAGCCCGTGACAGTCCCAGCCCTCCCCCACTGTCTTTGCTAAGCCCAACAGTGGACACGTGTCTAAGAAGAGCCATTTCTTTGGCAGGAGGACTGAGTATTTTCTGACCGCAGTGCACCATGGGAAGGTAAGTCCTCTCAGAGCTGACCACTGCGGGGAAGCAGAGCATTTGTGTGATGGAATGCACAGTGAGTGTCAAGAGGTGAGGGCTGTGACCGTTCCTCTCGCTTGGTGGAAATAGATGGAAAGAGCCGAAGGTTGGGCGTGGTGGCCCACGCCTGTTATCCCAGCACTTTCGTTGGCCGAGGCAAGAAGGTCTCTTGAGTCCCAGAGTTCGAGACTAGCCTGGGCAACACGGTGAAACCCTATCTCTACAATAAAACAAAATATTTTTTAAAATTAGCCAAGCATAGTGGTACACACCTGTAGTCCAAGCTACTTGGGAGGCTGAGACATGAGGATCACTTGAGTCCCGGTGCTCAAGGCTGCAGTAAGCTATGATTGCACCACCGCACTGGTGATGGGCAACAGAGCAAGACCCTGTCTTATCGTTGAACCGGGGAGGTGGAGGTTGCAGTGAACTGAGATTGCGTCACTGTACTCCAGCCTGGGCAACAGAGCAAGATTCTGTCTCAAAAAAGAGAGAGAGAGAGAGAGAGAAAGGAGGGAGGGAGGGAGGGAGGGAGGAAGGAAAGAAGGAAGGAGGGAGGGAGGGAGGGAGGGAAGGGAAGGTCACCGTGTTGGTCAGGCTGGTCTTGAGCTCCTGGGCTCAAGTGATCCACCCACCTCGGCCTCCCAAAGTGCTGGGATTACAGGTGTGAGCCACCGCGTCTGGCCCCAAAATTAACCATTTTGAAGAGTGAATAATTGGCTGGCATTCAATGCATTCACAGTGTTGTACAACCATCACCTCTATCTAGTTTCAGAATATTCCTCACCCCAGAAGGAAACCATGTACCCATGGGCTGGTGGCTACCTGCTCGGACAGCCCGGTTCTAGGTCAAATTCTGTGTTTTATCCCTTTTCCCTGTGAATTTTCTGGACTTCTTTGTGTTTTCTCCTGGGAAGCTCTGAGGTTTCCGTAATTCCTGGGCTCCAGAAAGAAGAAAGGGCGGCTGTGGAGAGACGAAGACTTCATGTGCTGAAAGCCCTGAAGAAGCTACATATTGAGGCCGATGAGGTAAGTGAGGGGAGGACGGTGGCCCCAGAGATCCCAGAATTGCCCCCTCTGTGCCCAGTGTCCAGGGCCCATCTCAGCCAGGGAGAGCTGGACCAAAGGGAGGAAATAGAAGGATACGAACTTCTATGGGACAGAAGACATTGCCCCTGCCTAAGGGAGATCCTAGGTCTTCTTATCCTTCTCCTCCTCCTCCTCCTCCTCCTTTCTTTTTCTTTTTCTGTTTTTTTCTTCTTTTTTTTTTTTGAGACAAGGTCTCGCTCTGTCACCCAGGCTGGAGTGCGGTGGCATGATCTTGGCTCACTGCAACCTCCACCTCCCAGGTTCAAGCTATTCTTCTGCCTCAGCCCGCTAAACAGCTGGGATTACAGATGTGCGCCACCACGCCCAGCTAATTTTTGTATTTTTAGTAGGGATGGGGTTTTATCATGTTGGCCAGGTTGGTCTTGAACTCCTGACCTCAAGTGATCCACCCGCCTCGGCCTCCCAATGTGCTGGGATTACAGGCGTGAGCCACGGTGCCTGGCCCCAGGTACCCTTCTTCTTGTTCCCACCTCCATCCTCAGGCTCTGAACCTCTGATTGATTCTCTCCCCAATGCCTAGGCCCCAGTTGTTGCTGTGCTGGGCTCAGGCGGAGGACTGCGGGCTCACATTGCCTGCCTTGGGGTCCTGAGTGAGATGAAAGAACAGGGCCTGTTGGATGCTGTCACATACCTCGCAGGGGTCTCCGGATCCACTTGGTAAGTGTCACTTGTGTTTCAGATTGCTTTCTGACACATAAATGGGATTATTGTTTTCCTCCTGACACCAAATATGTGTGGTTTTTCCAACGCTGCTTCTTGAGCTCTCTGATACTAGCTGGGTGTCGTACAATGCTGAGCAGTTCTGACGCTGTCTACCCGGAGTTCAAGTCAGATTCCAACAGGTTAAAGGGGCTCAGTCCCTAAAAACTGCCCCACTTCAGACACGAGTTGCAATTACCTAGCCGCTGGTACTTCTGACCGACTGGCAATAGTTTGGGGTTTCCCACAGCTTCCTCCTCATATTCAATAATTTACTGGAATAGCTCACAGAACTCAGGAACACACTTTACTTCCATTTGCTGGTGTATTACAAAGGATGGGCCAGGTGTGGTGGCTCACGCCTGTAATCCGAGCACTTTGGGAGGCTGAGGCAGGAAGATCGCTTGAGTTCAGGAGTTTGAGACCCAGGCTGGGCAACATAGCTAGACCCCATCTCTACAAAAAGTGAAAAAATTAGCCAGGTGGGGTGGTGCATGCCTATGGTCCCAGCTACTCAGGAAGCTGAGGCAGGAGGATTGCTTTAGCCTGGGAGGCTGAGGTTGCATTGAGCTACAGTCACACACTGCACACCAGCCTGGGTGACAGAGAGACCCTGTCTCAAAAAAAAAACCCCAAAAATTCTAAAAAAAAAAAAAAATTCCAAGGATTTTAAGAACTCTGCACCAGGAAGCAGGGAAAAACACGAAGTATCTTTCTTTACTACACAAAACTGCTGTGGACAAAGCATAATAATACTACCTTCTGACTTTAAAGGAGGATTTACAGGTTCAGGTGCACTTTTCACACTGCAGGTGGATAGAATACAGCCCTTTTAACTTCTCAGCCTCCGTGATAAAGTATTGCATTAATTTGTGTAGGACTGTCTCATTCAGGAGGCCCCAGATGGCAGGTATGAAACACTCATGTCTGCATGTTTGTTTCCAAGCCCAGGGCAGACATGACTAATTGATCTTGGCACATTTTCCGAGCAGGAGGTAAGGCTGGGCAGAGCAGCAGAGGCTCAAGTGAGATAGGCAGGGCGGAGGCATGAATGTTGAACTCGGCTGGCATGATTTGTTTTCCTTTCTGTGCTCGAAGTTTGATCTGGAGCTGGGTTCTGAGCTGGGTGTGGAGGATGAGGTTCATGGAGACGACGGCATGAAGAGCAGAGCTGCAGAGCTTGGGAGTGGGAAAGGTACTGCAGAGTCACCCCTAGGATCCCTCTATTCCTCCAAGGCTCATCTAACATGTCGAGTGACATGGCATGGGGATTTAGCCGAACTGCACATTGCAGAACCCCAGGGGGCGCTGTTTTCTTCTGTAATCTTTCCAAGGCTGCAGTGGTTAAGACCTGGCTGGACACAGGGACTCACACCTGTAATCCCAGTACTTTGGGAGGTCGAGGTGGGAGGATCTCTTGAGCCCAGGAGTTCAAGACTAGCCTGAGCAACATAGCAAGACCCCATCTCTACAAATGACAGCAACAAAAGCCTTATATTCCAACAGCTTTGGGTTAGTTCCTGGAGCTGTCCTTCGTGGGCTGTTATGAGCCCAGACATACTTCTTTGTGCCTTGGTTTCCTCCACTGTTGAGGAGGATAACTTGCTGATCTCACAGGACTCTGAGAATTAAATGATGAAACATATGCAAAGCGTCCCAACCTGAGCTGTCCAGTAGCACTGTATACCATGAGCCATATCTCATCTATTCTATCATTTTAAATTTTCTTTTTTTCTTTCTTTTCTTTTCTCCTTTTGGAGATGCAGTCTCGCTCTCGTTGCCCAGGCTGGAGTGCAGTGGCGTGATCTTGGCTCATTGCAACCTCCACCTCTTGGGTTCAAGTGATTCTCCTGCCTCAGCCTCCCAATTAGCCGGAATTACAGGCACTTGCCACCACACCCAGCTAAGTTTTGTATTTTTAGTAGAGATGGAGTTTCACCATGTTGGCCAGGCTGGTCTCAAACTCCTGACCTCAGGTGATCTGCCTGCCCTAGCCTCCCAAAGTGCTGGAATGACAGGCATAAGCCACCATGTCTGGCCCATTTTAAATTTTCTAGTAGCCTCTTCAAGAAGGTAAAAAGAAACAGTGAAATGAATGATCAATTTTCTTTAACCCAATATATCCAAAACATTAGCATTTTGGCACATCATTAAGAAAAACATTGTTAATGAGATATTTGACATTCCTTTTGTCAGGCTAAGTCTTTGAAAGCTGCTGGGCATTTTATACTCAGCGCATTCCAAGTTGGATGCAGAAGTCTCATTAGATGTTAAGGGAGGCCCAGGGCAGTGGCTCACGCCTGTAATTCCAGCACTTTGGGAAACCGAGGCGGGTGGATCACCTGAGGTCAGGAGTTTGAGACCAGCCTGGCCAACATGGTAAAACCCTGTCTCTACTAAAAATATAAAAATTAGCTGGTTGTGGTAGCGGGTGCCTGTAATCCCAGCTACTTGGGAGGCTGAGGCAGGAGAATCACTTGAACCCGGGAGGCAGAGGTTGCAGTGAACCGAGATCGAATCACTGTACTCCATCCAGCCTGGGTGACAGAGCAAGACTCCGTCTCCAGAAAAAAAAAAAAGATGTTAAAGGAAAGAGCTTTTCATACCCAGCTTGTTCCAAACATACTTCAGAGTTTCCCAGTAACTGAATGGAGTACCAGTGTTTACATTTAAGCTAATTAAAATGAAATAAAAATTTAAAATCATGCTAGCCACACTTCAAGGGCTCAAGAGCTACGACGTGTGTTTAATACATTGGATGGCGTGAGTGTAGATAGCACCCAATAAGCAGCATTAAGAACATCAAAAATTTTTATTGAGCCCAGGCACAGTGGCTTACACCTATAATCCCAGCATTTTGGGAAGCTGAGGTGGGAGGATTGCTCGAGGCCGCAAGCTTGAGACCAGCCTGGGCAACATAGTGAGACTCTGTCTCTACAGAAAATAAATTTAAAAATGAGCAGGGCATGGTGACGCACCTGGTGAGTAGTGTGGTTCCAGCTATTCGGGAGGCTGAGGTGGGAGGATCATTTGAGCCCAGGGATTTGAGGCTGCAGTGAGCCAAGATCATGCCACTGCACTTGAGCCTGGATAACAGAGCAAGAACTGTCTCAAAAAAAAAAAATTATATATATATATAGAGACTCCATGTGACACACCAGCTCCCTTGCCTTCTGCCATGAGTAGAAGCTTTTTGCACCATGCTTCTTCTTGTACAGTCTGCAGAACTGTGAGCTAAATAAACCTCTTTTCTTCATAAATTTAAAAAGATATATATACATACATATATTTTTTATATATATATATACACACACACATATATTTATTGAGTGAACAAATGAATATCAAGTCTTTTTTTTTTTTTTTTTTATTAGACGGAGTTGTGCTCTGTCACCAGGCTGGGGTGTAGTGGCACAATCTCGGCTCACTGCAACCTCAGCCTCCCGGGTTCAAGCGACTCCTCTGCTTCAGCCTCCCGAGCAGCTGGGACCACAGGCGTGTGCCACCGTGCCTGGCTAATTTTTGTGTTTTTAGTAGAGACAGAGTTTCCTGAGTATCTGGCACTACAGGTGCCCACCACCATGCATGCCACCACGCCTGGCTAATTTTTTTGTATTTTTAGTGGAGATGGGGTTTCACCGTGTTGACCAGCCTGGTCTCAAACTCCTGACCTCAGGCAATCCTCCTGCCTCGGCCTCCCAAAGGGCTGGGATTACAGGCATAAGCCACCACGCCTGGTCCCTTTCATTGATTTTCTAGGATTATGTGAGTTAATAGGTATAAAAGACTAAAGACAGTTTGTTGCTGTCACATGTAAACCTTTAATAAATGCTGGCTGCAAAAAACATTTGACTCTGATGAGGCCTTTCTCCCATCGTGCTCTCATTTTCCTGCCTGTGAAATGGAAGGATTGTCCCAGATGATTTTGAGCCTCCTCCTCTGAACTTGATCGTTCTGCAGTTACATTTATTTAATGTAAATTTTCCGTTTCCTCTGCGTGTCACCCTCTCCGTGAGGCAGGTGTTCCTGTGAAGGACCTCCTCCCACGCATCCTTCCCCAGTCTTCATCGTCCACACATACAATGCCGAACTCACTCTCTTCCTCTGTCCTCCAGGGCAATATCTTCTCTCTACACCAGTGATGGTGACATGGAAGCTCTCGAGGCTGACCTGAGACATCGATTTAACCGACAGGAGTGGGACTTGGCTAAGAGCCTACAGAAAACCATCCAAGCAGCGAGGTCTGAGAATTACTCTCTGACTGACTTCTGGGCCTACATGGTTATCTCCAAGCAAACCAGAGAGGTAAGCCATTCCCCGCTGGGGACGTGGGGTAGGGGTAGGAGCAAGGGGTCTCAGGGCGTGACGTTGCCAAAGATACTGACTGGCACCACTTTTTAAGTCTTTCAGGACTTTCAAGACATCAAAATCTGGGCATTTCGATGGATGCCTCAAAACTTAAGTATATCAGGGTGACTGTGGTTGCAAGTGACAGAAACTGACTCTTATTCATTTATGCAAAAAATAAAGTGATATGATTTACTAGAAAGATACACAGACATCCGGGGCAAGAAGAACCATGAGGAATTATGATGGAATAAGGCAAAAATCGGGAAAGTCTCAGACCCAAGACAACTTTCCTCTCCATCCCTCCTTGGCCATTTGATGTCTTGAATTCACTATTTTTTTTAAATTTCATTTCATTTCATTTTTCAGAAAGGGTCTTGCTCTGTCACCCAGGCTGGAGTGCAGTGGCGGGATCATGGCTCACTGCAGCTTTGACCTTCTGGGCTCAAGCAATCCTCTTGCCTCAGCCTTTTGAGTAAGCTGGGGCAACAGGCATGCACCACCATGCCTGGCTAATTAAAAAATTTTTTTTTTTTTTTAGAGACAGGGATCTCGCTATATTGCCCAGGCTGGTCTCAAACTCCTGAGCTCAAGCAATCCTCCAGCTACTGGGTTCAAGTGATCCTCCCACCCCAGCCTCCCAAAGTGCTGGGATTATGGGTATGAGCCACTGCATCCAGCCTATCCTAACACTTTGGGCTTTTGTTGTTGTTTTGTTTGTTTTGTTTGTTCTTGAGACAGGGTTTCACTCTGTCACTCAGGCTGGAGTACAGTGGTGCAGTCATACTCACTGCAGCCTTGACCTCCTGGGCTCAAGCAATCCTCCCAGCTCAGCCTCCCAAGTAGCTGGGACTACAGGCACCCACCACTGTGCCTGACTAATTGTCTTTTATTTTTTATTGTTCTGTAGAGACAGGATCTTGCTTCGTTGCTCAGGGTGGTCTCCAAATCCTGGGCTCGAGTGATCCTTCCACCTCAGCCTCCCAAAGTGCTGGGATTTATGGGTATGAGCCACTGCACCTAGCCTATCCAGGCACTTTGGGCGGCCAAGGCGGGAGGATTGCTTGAAGCCATGAGTTCAAGACCAGCCTGGGCCACATAGCAAGAGCCTGTCTCTATCAAAAAATAAATTAGCTGGGCGTGGTGACATGCATCTGTAGTCCCAGCTACTTGGGAGGCTGAGGCAGGTGGATTGCTTGAGCCCAGGAGGTTGAGGCTGCAGTGGGCCATGATTGTACCACTGCACTCCAGTCTGGGTGACAGACTGAGACCCCTCTAAAACAAAAAGTTGGCCTACATGCAGAGGTTCCACCCTGTGGGACCCATATGCTCCCTCACACTTTGTCTTGGCACATTCTCCCAAAGCTGCCGGAGTCCCATTTGTCCAATATGAAGAAGCCCGTGGAAGAAGGGACACTACCCTACCCGATATTTGCAGCCATTGACAACGACCGGCAACCCTCCTGGCAGGAGGCAAAAGCACAGGGTAAGCAAACATTTAGAGGGAGGGAGAGGTAGTAAGGGACGGCACGGCATGGAGTGAAATGGAAGAGTGTTTCCCTGCCCTTCCCTTGGGGAGCCCAGGAAGAGGGAAGGGCTCAGGATTGCAGAAAACAGGGTGCTCAGCTTACAGGAGAGAAGAGGGAAGTCCCAGAAGTGACCAGAGGACATGCACTTGCTTTGCATGGATCAAGAAAACCTTTAAGAGGTCAACATGGTGGCTCACGCCTGTAATCCCAGTGCTTTGGGAGGCTGAGGTGGGAGGATTGCTTGAAACTAGGAGTTGGAGACCATCCTGGGCAACATAGTGAGACCCCATCTCAAAACAACAGCAACATTAAACAGCAAAACAAAACAAAACAAAAAAACACAATAAAATAGTCAAGCATGGTGGCAGGAACCTGAAGAATCTACTCAGGAGATTGAGGCAGGAGAATCACTGCAGATCCGGAATTCAAGGCTTCAGTGAGCTGTGATTGCACCATTGCACTACAGCCTGGGCGACAAAGTGAGACCCTGTCCCCCCCCAAAAAAAAGAAAAGAGAGGACAGGAAGGAAAAAAGAAAAAAAGGAAAGAAAACTGTAATAAAGGATGCTCGAAGGATGGCGGGGTGGGTGGGAAGGGCTGTCTCTCACTTTTGTTTTGTTTTGTTTTGTTTTGTTTGAGATGGAGTTTCTCTCTTGTTGTCCAGGCTGGAGCGCAATGGCACGATCTCGGCTCACCGCAACCTCTGCCTCCCAGGTTCAAGCGATTCTCCTGCCTCAGCCTCCCTAGTAGCTGGGACTATAGGCATGTGCCACCACGCCCGGTTAATTTTGTATTTTTAGTTTCTCCATGTTTGTCAGGCTGGTCTCGAACTCCTGAGCTTAGGTGGTCCACCTGCCTCAGCCTCCCAAAGTGCTGGGATTACAGGTGTGAACCACGGCTCCCAGCCGTCTCTCACTTTTTAGATGTCTTCCTTCTCCATAGGTCCAATTGTCACCCAAATGCTGGCAGCTCTCCAGTCATTCCAGTTTCTCTTTTGAGCTCATCTCTCTCCTGAGATCCACACCTCCTTACCCTATTTCCTAAGCATAAAATGCACTTACTTGTTCAGCAACTGTGTCCTGGCTTCTCACGACATATCAGGCAATGTTACCAGTTACCAGTGGTTGGATATCTCCTGGCATCTTAAGGCTCAGAAGCCCTCAGTGTGAATGGTGTTTGTTTGTTTGTTTTTTTGAGACAGAGTTTTGCTCTTGTTGCCCAGGCTGGAGTGTAATGGCACGATCTTGGCTCACTGCAACCTCTGCCTCCCGGGTTCAAGTGATTCTCCTCCCTCAGTCTCCCAAGTAGCTGGGAATGTAGGCGTGCGCCACCACACCTGGCTAAGTTTTGTATTTTTAGTAGACACAGGGTCTCACCATGTCAGTCAGGCTGGTTTCAAACTCCTGACCTTAGGTGATCCACCCACCTGGGCCTCCCCAAGTGCTGGGGTAACAGGCGTGAGCCACCATGCCTGGCCGTGAATGTTTTATCTCTCTCCTCAATGTGGTTCCTTGTGCTGTTTTCTCACCAGAGCAGATAGAGCTGACTCCATCCATTCCATAGGCCCCACAAATTCAGTCCTTCCCAGACCTAGAATTCACCCCCTCCTCATTTTCATCCTTTGTGCTCTTCTACATCACCCCCAGACCAGGTCTCCCAGTCTCCTAGGAGACTCTTGTAATAGTTCCTCACTGGCCCATGCATCCCAAGCTGTCCACCTCCTTCCCTGGCTACGTGATGGAAGTTTCCAGGATGAAAATCTGATCATGTCATTTTCTTCCCTGAAATATTCTAATGACTCACATTGGAATCATGCATTAGATTTATGCCCACAGACAAACCTCCATGCAATCATGTGGCTACACTCTTCCTTTGCACTCCAGGGTTCCATGGAGTTGTAGCCACAATGAGACGGAAGAGAGAGGCAGGGCTGAGGGTTCAAGCTCTGGAAAATACTGGAAACAGGCTGCTGTGGAAGTTATGAGCTGCCACCAGCAGTGTAAAGACTCAGGTCTGAGGATGAGATCCCCAGTGGTTTCTGACACCACACAGTCCATCTCTGACATTCTCCTGGCATGGTTGTAATTCCTCATTAGTAGATTTTTTTTTTTTTTTTCCCCGCACACCTGCTATGTTCCAAGTTCTGTGCTGGGACTCACTTGCCCTTGTATTTCCTCTGCAGAGACCTGGTTCGAGTTCACCCCTCACCATGCTGGCTTCCCTGCACTGGGGGCCTATGTTTCCATAACCCACTTCGGAAGCAAATTCAAGAAGGGAAGACTGGTCAGAACTCACCCTGAGAGAGACCTGTCTTTCCTGAGAGGTCAGTGCTTGGGTCAGAGGGGATTAAATGGGGGTGGGAAGTGAAGGAGAGGTAAGAGGGTCTAGCTTTGCCCAGCTCTTACATTTCTAGGGGGAAAGAAAAGGACTTGGTATGCTTCCAGAAAGAGGAGTGGTGTGTTCCTCCTGCTGAGTCTTCAGTGTCTCTCAAAGGTCTCCTTGATGTGTCAGATACATGATATCCTATCAAACAATCCAGGAGAGAGAGCTTAATAGAGGGGCTCAAGTCCAGGGCTGTGGCTTCCAATAAGCAGATTCAGAATGTGTTTGGGATGACATGGTGCTTTGGGAGGCTGATATGGGAGGATCCCTTGAGACTGGGAGTTTGAGACCAACCTGGGCAACATAGCGACACTGTGTCTCTACAAAAACTTAAAAATTAGCCAGGCATGGTGGCATGTGCCTATGGGTCCCAGCTACTCAAGAGGCTGAGGCAGTGGAAGGATCACTTCAGCCTGGGAGTTCAAGGCTGCAGTGAGTTATGATCCACCACTGCCCTCCAGCCTGGATGACAGAGAAAGATCCTGTCTCAAAACAAACAACAACAAAAAAAACTAGAATGTGTTTTAGGCACCAGCAAAGCAAGGGGCATACAATTTTTTAAAAACAGGGTATTTCCAGAAAAAAAATTACAACAAAAACCAAAAACAATCAAAACAGTGATAGTGAGTAAAATCAGAACTTGATTAAATGTCCTTGACTGTAGCTTACACACTGGTATCACTTTTAGTTGTGGCTTCATAATCTTCTCAGAACTCAGGGTCTAAAGGCATTACCCTCCTAGGCAGACAGCTCCCCTACATGGGACAAATAATGCCAGCTTGAGAAAGTCATTTATGTTACCTGAGCCTCAGTTTTCTCATAGGGAAAGTACTTATCTCAAAATGTGGGTGTGAGAGTTAGGCATAATCCACAAATAAAGCACTCAGCCCAGTGCCCAGCACATGGTAGTAATTCAAGGATGGTTGAATCGCCATGATTTTAGCATACACTTTTGAGACACGCTGGGACCCTGATACTATTTTAAATGCAGGGGATTCAGTCATGAGCAGGACAGTGAAGGCTCATTCCCTAATGAAGTTTGCACTCCAGGGAAGAAGATGATGAATGAACACACACAAAAATAAATATATATTATAATGTCAGATCATAGTAAATGCTATCTTGAAAAATAATTCATGATAAGGGGCTGGAGAGTGACCACAGTATTATTTTTAATTGGTGGTCGAGCTTCTGACAGGAGATGGCCTTTGAGTGTGGACTTGATGAAAAGTGAAGCCATGCAGATATCTTAGGGGAAAACCACATGGACAGAGGGAAGAGCAAATACAGAGACCTTGTATTAGTCCATTTTCATACTGTTATAAAGATACTACCCGAGACTGGGTAATTTGTAGACAAAGAAGGTTTAATTGACTCACAGTTTCACATGGCTGGGGAGACCTCAGGAAACTTACAATCATGGCAGAAGGTGAAGGGGAAGCAAGAACCTTCTTCACATGGTGGCAGAAGAGAGAAGAGCAAGCCAAAGAAAAACTACCCAACACTTATAAAACCATCAGATCTCGTGAGAACTCACTCACTATTACGAGTGCAGCATGGGGGGAAACTGCCCCCGTGATCCAGTTACCTCCCACAAAGTCGCTCCCTCAACACCTGGGGATTACAACTCGAGAGATTTGGGTGGGGACATAAAGCTTAACCATATCAGACCCTAAGCCAGGACCATGCTTGTCTTACTCTAGAACCAATGAGAAGACCAGTGAGGTTGGAGCCTCCTGAATGAGGCTGGGAGAGAGGGCTGGAGAGGTAGGCAAAGTCCAGATCATATGGGACCCTGAGGGACACAGATGAAGTTTAGTTTGTATTCCAAGTGTGATGGGAGAGCCAGGGAGGCAGTTTAATTAGGGTGGTGACCTGATTCAGTTTATATTGGAAAAGATCGATCTCTCTCTCTCTGAGCATGGATTAGGGGTGGGTGTGCAAACTTAGAAGTTGGGAGCAGTTGAGAAGCTAATGGTCCTGGTGACAGATAATGGCAGTTTAAGGTTGGGTACCAGAGTGGATATGGGAGGGAAGTGGATGGACTCTGGAAACCTGGAGATGGATGAAGAAGAATTACACCTGGATTGGATGTGGAGAGTAAGGAGAATCAGAGACGACATTAAAGGTTCCAGCTCCGGCAACCTGGTAGATGGAGGGGTATTCTCGGGGAGGAGAATGAGATAGGATGAAGGGGATCTTCTCCCCCTTTCTCTGGTCTGAACAGAAGGGGTACTTCATATTGCCAAGCCTGGCTCCTGTCTCCTATCCCTGCCATCTCTTTGCTAAATCTGGTCTTGGGCATCAGATATTCTGAAATTGTCACTCCCAGGTGCTCCTTATAACATTATTATTTCCTTGGGTGTATGTATCACCTACTGAAGTGGTTCTGTACATGTCTCTTATCCTGCCCTCACACACCTGGGTGCTTTTTATTTATTATTACAAAATACACATAGCATAAATTTTGCCATTTTAACAATTTTAAAGTGTTCAGTACAGTGGTATAAATACAATACATTCATAATGTTGTGCAACCATCACCGCCATCCATCTCCATAACCCTTTTCATCTTGGAAAACTGGAACTCTATACCCATTGAACACTGAACTCCCTGTCACCCCCTCCCTTAGCCCCTGACAACCACCTTCTGCCTCTATGAGTTTGACTACTCTGAGTATGACATGTAAATGGAATCATGCACTGTTTGTCTTTTTGTGTCTGTCTGATTTCACTGAGGAAAATGACTTTGAAGTTCATCCATATTGTACCATGTGTTCGAATTCCTTTTTATGGATGAGTCATATTCCATTGTACGAATATACCACATTTTGCTTATCAATTTATCCATCGATGAACACATGGATTACTTTCATCTTTTGGCTATTGTGAAGGAAGCTGCCATGCACATGGGTCTATGAATATCTTTTTGAGACCTTGCTTTCAATTCTTTTGGGTACATACTCAAAGGTAGAGTTGCTGGATCATATATGTGGTAATTCTATTTTTAAATTTTTGAGGCCGGGCCTGGTGGCTCATGCCTGTAATCCCAGCACTTTGGGAGGCCGAGGCAGGAGGATCACCTGAGGTCGGGGGTTTGAGACCAGCCTGACCAACATGGTAAAACCCCATCTCTACTAAAAATACAAAATTAGCCAGGTGTGGTGACACCTGCCTATAATTCCAGCTACTTGGGAGGCTGAGGCAGGAGAATTGCTTGATCCTGGGAGGCGGAGGGTGCAGTGAGCCGAGATCGTGCCATTGCACTCCAGCCTGGGCCATCTCAAAAAAAAAAAAAAAAAAAAATTTTTTTGAGGACCGACCATACCATTTTCCACAGTGGCTGTACCATTTTATATTCTGCCCAATGGTGCACCAGGGTTCCAATTTCTCCACGTCCTCATCAACACTTATTGTTTTCTGGGGTTTTTTGGATACCAGCCAAGCCAATGGGTGTGTCTATAGTGTCTTTGAGTTTTCTTCTTCTTCTTCTTTTTTTTTCTTTGAGATGGAGTCTCACTCTGTCACCCAGGCTGGAGTGCAGTGGTGCAATCTCTGCTTACTGCAGCCTCCCGGGTTCAAGTGATTCTCCTGCCTCAGCCTCCCAAGTAGCTGGGACTATAGGTGCACACCACCAGGCCCAGCTAATTTTTGTATTTTTAGTAGAGATAGGGATTCACCATGTTGGCCAGGCTGATTTTAACCTCCTGACTTCAATTCATCCACCCACCTCAGTCTCCCAAAATGCTGGCATTACAGGCATGAGCCAATGTGCCTGGCCCTGGCTGATTATTCATTTTTTATGTCTCCCTGTATCTATACAAATGTGTTTGGCTAAAAGTCACTAACCAACCACAGTGCCCTGAGGAAATGTGGGATTAATTTTCTTACAAAAGAAAAAGACAGGCTGGGCACCGTGACTCACACCTGAAATCCCAGCACTATGGGAGACTGAGGTGGGTAGATCACTTGAGGTCAGGAGTTCGAGACCAGTTGTGCCAACATGGTGAAACCCCATCTCTACTAAAAAAATACAAAAATTAGCAGGGCGTGGTGGCGCATACCTGTAATCCCAGTTACTCAGGAGGCTGAAGCAGGAGAATCATTTGAATCTGGGAGGCAGAGGTTACATTGAACCGAGATCACATCACTGCACTCCAGCCTGGGCCACAGAGCAAGACCCCATCTCAAAATAAATACATAAATAATGCAAAGATAGGTGGCTGGTGACATTGGTTTAGCTGTGGAACATTAAGCAGAAGGACCCAGGTTTATTCTGGGTTTCGGCTCCTCCATCCTTAGCATGTTAACAGTCACCTTCATGCTGAACTCCTCCACACCACAGGATGGCTGCTGCATCCAATGAAGCTGCAACTTTTTTTTTTTTTTTTTTAAGTCAGGGTCTCTCTCTGTCACTCAGGCTGCAGTGCAGAAGCACAATCATAGCCCAGTACAGGTCTCGAACCCCTGGCCTCAAGCAATCTTCCTGCCTCAGCCTCCCAAATAGCTGAGTCTAGAGTTGCATGCCACCACGCCTGGCCTGCTCGTTCTGAGAAGGACAACAAGCACTTTGCAGAAGTCCCCCCAGCAGTGTGCATGGACCACAGCTTGACCTCCCCCTAGCTGCAAGGGAGGCTGGGAAATATTTGCCCTTCCTGCCTATAGACTGAGAAGGGTTGGCATGGAAGGAAGCTTGAAATGGCCTTGGGGTAGCCAGTCTACAGCGCCTGGCTGGCTCTGCCCATAGAAGGTTCGCGAGGACAAGGACCTTATCTGTCTTGTTTATTGCTCTATTCCAGCAGCCAGAAGAGTGCCGGGTGCCCACTAATTGCTTCATACATATTTATGGAATGGAAGAATGATCTTTCTTCCTGTTGCAGATCCCTGCAGTGTTTTATACCAGTCTGCTGGTGCTTTGAATATCAAGCATGACAGTCACGTGATGGAGAATGTTTGAATTTTATTGCTATTTTCTTGGCAGGTTTATGGGGAAGTGCCCTTGGTAACACTGAAGTCAATAGGAATTATATTTTTGGTGAGTATTTGGGGAACAGAAAAGTCAAAGCCTAGAGATATTTTGTGCAAGGAGATTCACAGTACTTTTCCTACTCATGGCAGAAGAGAGACCTGTATGTAATTGTTCTAGCAACTGCATTTCCTGACATTTATTCTCATGTAACTGGGCAGCCAGGATGACCACAGAGTGGATGAGCGTACAGACCCCCTTGGAAGGAATGTTGCTCTGGTACATGTGAGCTTTGTGACCTCTGAAAAGTTCCTTAACCTCTCTGTGCCTCAGTTTCTGCCTCTGTGCCATGCGGGTGATAATAATAGTAGTTATGGACTGGGCGCGGTGGCTCACGCCTGTAATCCCAGCACTTTGGGAGGCCGAGACAGGCGGATCATGAGGTCAGGAGATCGAGACCACCCTGGCTAACACGGTGAAACCCCGTCTCTACTAAAAATACAAAAATTAGCCAGTACGGTGGCGGGCGCCTGTAGTCCCAGCTACTTGGGAGGCTGAGGCAGGAGAATGGCGTGAACCTGGGAGGCAGAGCTTGCAGTGAGTGGAGATTGCACCACTGCACTCCAGCCTGGGCAACAGAGCGAGACTCCGTCTCAAAAAAAAAAAAAAAATAGTAGTTATGAATATTTGATGAGTTAATTCATTGAAAGCTCATAGGACAGTGCCTGGTAGATAATGGTACTCAGTAAACATTAGCAATCATTACCTGGTCTTTTTTTTTTTTTTTGAGACGGAGTCCCGCTCTGTCACCCAGGCTGGAGTGGCACTATCTTGGCTCACTGCAAGCTCCGCCTCCCGGGTTCACGCCATTGTCCTGCCTCAGTCTCCTGAGTAGCTGAGACTACAGGTGTCCGCCACCACACCCAGCTAATTTTTTGTATTTTTAGTAGAGACAGGGTTTCACCGTGTTAGCCAGGATGGTCTCAATCTCCTGACCTCGTGATCCGCCCACCTCGGCCTCCCAAAGTGCTGGGATTACAGGCATGAGCCACCGAGCCTGGCCCCTCATTTAAATGTAACCCCTTCAGTACCCTAAGAGGCAGATGCTTTTGTCCTTTCCATTTTGCTGAGATCCACCAAGTCATGGGAAGGATGCGTGACTCACCCATGCTGCTGGTCAGTGAGTGCAGACGCAGGATTCTATGGGAGAATTGGGTGGTGGATCTCTAGGGGAATAGTGTGGTGGTTCAAATCCAAAGCCTGTCTGCCTGGATCCACATTCCGGCTCTGCTTCTCCTGCATTGCTGACTCTGGAAAGCTGCTTAAATTCTCTGTGACCCAATTTCGCCTTCCTAAAATGGAGACAAGAGTACACAGTCCCAGTCTCGTATATTTGATGTGGGGTTTAAATGACCTCATGTATGTAAAATGCTTAGAGCAAAGCCTGACACATGGGAGTATTTCACTTTATGTTAATCATATTTTTAGGATCATTATTGAGTTCATACCCTGAACAACTCACCATTCATTTAATGCATATTCATGGGACTTCCTGTATTCCAGGCACTGTACTAGTTCTTATCCTTTGACTTTTTTATTTGTTTGTTTTTTTGAGACAGAGTTTTGCTCTGTTGCCCAGGCTGGAGTGCAGTGGTGTGATCTCGGTTCACTGCAACCTCCACCTCCCAGGCTCAAGCGACTCTCCTCCTGAGTAGCTGGGACTACAGGTGTGCGCCACCATGCCTGGCTAATTTTTGTATTATTGGTAGAGACAGGGTTTCACCATGTTGGCCAGGCTGGTCTTGAACTCCTGACCTCAAGTGATCCACCGCCTCAGCCTCCCAAAGTGCTGGGATTACAGGTGTAAACCACCATGCCCAGGCTGATGTTGTTCTTTGACATCGGTGTTCACCATAACTTGGTTAAAAACAAACTGAAAAAGGGAATCTATCTATCTCCAACCTCCAAATGGCTAACTAAATGTGTGAGATGGGTCTGAGTGTTACTTCTCCAGTGGGTCTGCTAAGCTTTCTCTCTAAAAAACAAAAACAAAACTCCTGATATGTAGTGTTTGCCAATTCCTGTGGTGTAAATGTTCCCACCATGGCCAAACTTCAAGCTACCAATATGAGGTCACTGAGCACAGAGTTGGAAGAGAGGTGCAAAATTGGCTCTCGAGAGGCATTGGCTGCCATTGGAGCCCATGCTGCCATTTCTATTAATGAAATATCCCTGCAGGTCATCTGTATTTTTTATGTTATAACTAGGGACTTTGTTGTACAGCTAAACATTCCCCCTGCTTCTACTCTTTTGCAGACCAGTTAAGGAATCTTCTGACCCCAAGAGGTAAGCATCCTACTTCGTCGTGAATCCCTAATGATAATGTGGACTGCACACTTGCTTGAGACCAGCCATTGTCCTAAGAACATTACATGTATGATTCATTTGGTGCCCATTTGAACTCTTTTTCTGGTATTTCAAAGATTTCATCTTGATTTGAATCTGTTGCTGGAGAGGTAATGTGATCTTTTGGGGGTGTGCTGTAGAACCACGTTTTATCATATTACCAAAGTTACTTTTCTGGTTCCTTCTCATTTGAGTAGACTATTTCTTTTAATTATTCTTGAATTTATGTTTGATTTGACTTTTTTTTTTTTCTTTTTTCCGCTTAAGGATGTGACTTTAATGTCGCTAGCTAATTATAGCCTAATTTGGTCCTTGGTGCTTTCAGGGGTGAAGACTGGAAGAGTTCCTTGGATACAGGGAGTCTTTGTGTGATGGCTTTCTCATATGCTGGTTGTAGAAGCAGTGTGCTCACTGTGTGAGCAAGTTCACTGTTGCCTATAGGGTTGGAATGGTCGAAGTCTCTTGAAGCTTAACTCCTTCCCCACATGGCATGCAATTTTTTTCCCCAGTATTTTATTGGCTGGTGTGATGGTTCAGGTTTCAGGTCTGTAGGGGAGGTGTGCCTGCATAGGAAGTGATTGTGGCTAAAGCATGTGAGTAAATGCAACACCCAATGGTGAGCAAAGGTCCCAGCCTTGACAGAGGTGACTGGAGGACCTCTCAGTGAGTTACACTGAGATTTTTTTTTTTTTTTTTTTTTTTTTTTTGAGACAGAGTTTGGCTCTTGTTGCCCAGGCTGGAGTGCAATGGCATGATCTCAGCTCACCCCGCAACCTCTGCCTCACGGGTTCAAGCGATTCTCCTATCTCAGCCTCCCAAGTAGCTGGGATTACAGGCACTTGCCACCACGCCCAGCTAATTTTGTATTTTTAGTAGAGATGGGGTTTCTCCATGTTGGTCAGGCTGGTCTCGAACTCCCGACCTCAGGTGATCCGCCCAACTTGGCCTCCCAAAATGCTGGGATCACAGGCGTGAGCCACCGCACCGGGCTGTGCACCGAGGTCTTATCAGGTGGAAGGGTTGGAGCCACTTCAGCTCCCCTGCCAGGTTAGCCGGAAAGCCATCCACCTCTCAGACACGCTCGTGATCCAGTGCTCCAGCTATTCAGATCAGACGGGCACCTCTTTCATCTGTAGGAATGTTGGCGTTCCAAGTAGAGAGGAATTGTGAATCTGTCTCTTGTGCAAGCCTAAACCTAGAGGGTGCTCCTCCTGTGGGGATGCCGTCACCCTGATGTGTTCCAGAAAGACTGTCTACAGTTGCACCCATGCTGAGCTCCCATGGGAGAAGCCCCAGCTGTGCCTGTGGTGATGGAAGGGGGGAAAGATATCCCCTTCTCCGAGACCCTTCACTCACACCAGGGCTGTCTGATGGTTGGGTTAGAGCTGTGGGCTTTCCCTGCTGAGCCCAGTACTAAAACTGTGCCCCTGCTGAAAGAAACTTTCCACCAGCAGAAAGATCTGATTTTCAAGGTCTGCTGTCCAGATTCTTTTGTCCCATGGGGTGTTCCCTTGACATGGTGCACTCCCCATTCCCGTAGGATAGGAGTCACTGGGCACCAGACTACAGTGAGTGTTGTTCCTCTGGGTCTAGCCACCCAGTGAAGCTGCCACACTTCAGGCTGGTTCTGGGGAATGTCTGCAAGGATTCCGGTAATGTCACCTGTCCTCGAGACTCCCAGCAGTGGGTAGCAGCACCAGCTCTAATGGGGGTGTCAGGAGAGAGACACAGGCTCTGTGAGATTCCTGTTATAGGTAGCCTTAGTATATTGGCTTCCTTGAATGCTAGTTACGGTAGTAATGAACGGATCACGTGGACAGACTCAGGACCTCCTGGTTAGCCAGAGTGGTGCACGCAGTGGTGACAGCTGAGGACATACAGCCATTTTCTCCTTCCTGGGGGCAGTGTTATCCTACCAGGAGATGCTGTCATGGACTGTGTTGGTTGGCCTCCACCCAGCAGGTGGAGCACCAGGTGCAGGAGTAGCAGTGGGATGTTCACTTGCCCTATGTTGCCCAGGGTGGCTCTCTTGTTTCTCAAGCAATGGGCAGAGCCATAGAGTTCCCAAAAGTTTCTATCCTTTGTATTAAGCCACCAGGACGGGTGGCAGGGCAAAGCCAGGTGTGGGCTGGGTCAGGCAGTTTTGTGCTCTAACTCTCCCTGTGTGGGGCAAGCAGCAATCCCTGTTGGGTATCGGGGGCGGGGTTGGTTTCCAGGCCAGTGTGCTGATAATCCAGAGAGGAGTGTTTCTGCCTCTGCTGCACGGAAGAGTTTGTGCAGGGAGTGGGGAGTGGCAGGTGGCAGTAAGCCCCACACAGATCCCACACACTTGGCAAGGCAGATCTCCTCCCACCCTGTTCCACTGGCAGCGGCGAGCTAAGTTCCAGGCAGCCTGTGCTCAGAACTTGCAAATGCCTCCAAGTCATAAGCTTTCCCTGCAGAGATAGCAGAGATAGCAACCACTGCTTTCAAGCCATGCCCCTCCCCATCTATCCCACCCAGCCACGTGCCAGCATCCTGCATACACGTGACTGCAGCTTGCTTTTTGCTTACCCCATGCCCCAATCCCAGCCCTGGCCAAGGAAGTTCATCTGCACCCACAGTTATCTCGTGAAACCCAGTTGCAGTCTTCTTTCAACCTGCCACCACCCCCTAAACTTTTTGGCTGACCACTGCAGGGTGCCCTGTGAGGAACAGTAAGTAATGGCTTCCCTGGGTCCATACTGGGATCTGGGAGTACATGCAGGGTTCTTCCCACAGCTCCTACTTATATTCCATGAACCTCCCCAAGTCATATCCTGCACTGAATAGGGTTAAGGCCTTGCCCCAGAGACTGGACTTTCAGGCTCCCTGGTGTGGTGGGGCATGTATCCCACAGTCTTTCCCCGTCTCACACCCCGGGGACTCGCAGCCCTTCACTTGAGTCACAGTATAGGCTGCAGCCCGTCAGTTCCTTCAAAGGGACGGTGGATTCCTTCAGATTTCCTGTCCAATTTCTGACTCACTTCTTGGAAAAAAAAAAAGTTCGCAGTGTGAATCTCTACACAGTGTTTTGTCCTTCCAAGTGGGAGGTGCATGCCAGCAATGCCTGTAATCCAACATGTTTACTGTCCTGCGCTTTTGTAGAAGGAGAGCAAGGACTTTCCAGAAGTGCCCCCAGCAATGTGCATGGGCCAGAGCTTGACCTTCCCCTAGCTGCAAGGGAGGCTGGGAAATATTTGCCCTTCCTGCCTGTGGGCTGAGAAATGTTGGCATGGAAGGGAGCTTAAAATGGGCCTTGGAGTAGCCAGTCTACAGTGTCTGGCTGGCTCCACCCATAGAAGGTTCATGAGGACAAATCTGTCTTGTTTACTGCTCTATTCCAGCAGCCAAAAGAGTGTCGGGTGCCCACTAATTGCTTCGTAAATATTTATGGAATGGAAGAATGATCTTTCTTCCTGCTACAGATCCCTGCAGTGCTTTATACTACAGATCCCTGCAGTGCCGGTGCTTTGAATATCAAGCATGACAGTCACATGATGGAGAATGTTTGAATTTTATTGCTATTTTCTTAGGAGGTTTATGGAGAAGAACTGTTGCAGGTGTTAAAAACATTGGACACCTTGTTTTTGGTGAGTATTTGGGGAACAGCAAGGTCAAAGCCTAGAGATATTTTGTGCAAGGAGATTCACAGTACTTTTCCTACTCATGGCAGAGGAGAGACCTGTATGTAATTGTTCTAACAACTGCATTTCCTGACATTTATTCTCATGTAACTGGGCAGCCAGGATGACCACAGAGTGGATGAGCGTACAGACCCCCTTGGAAGGAATGTTGCTTTGGTACATGTGAGCTTTGTGACCTCTGAAAAGTTCCTTAACCTCTCTGTGCCTAAGTTTCTGCCTCTGTGCCATGCGGGTGATAATAATAGTAGTTATGATGAATGAGTTAATTCATCAAAAGCACATAGGACAGTGCCTTGCAGATAAAGGCACTCAGTAAACATTAGCAATCTGACTGGATGCAGTGGCTGACACCCATAATCTCAACACTTGGGAGGCTAAGGCAGGCGGATCACTTGAGGCCAGGATACAGTGGCTCACACCTGTAATCCCAGCACTTTGGGAGGCTGAGGTGGGTGAATCACTCGAGGTCAGGAGTCTGAGACCAGCCTGGCCAACATGGTGAAATCCCATTTCTACTAAAAATACAAAAATTAACTGGGCGTGGTGGTGCATACCTGTAGTCCCAGTTAGTCGGGTGGCTGAGGCAGGAGAATTGCTTTAACCTGGGAGGCAGGGGTTGCAGTGAGCCGAGATCGCATCGCTATGCACCAGGCTGGGCAACAGATGGAGACTGTGTCTCAAAAAAAAAAAAAAAAAAAAAAAAAAGAAAGAAAGAAAAAAAGAAAAAGAAAAAAAGCAGACAAAATTTATTGACTATTCAAAAATCTGAAAAAGATGAAGCAGAAGCTTGACCTAACCGACACATATCAGGACTCAGCTTTCTATCATATTTTCAGCACACGTGGAAAAATTGAATTTTGATTTGATCTCAAGTAAAAATTTATAACATGTACAATATTTTAATTATAGGGATTAACTCTGCTACTATTAGGTAATAATATTTTAAAATATTATATTAAGTTTTTTTTGGTTTTTTGAATTTTTACTTCAACAGCTTTTGGGGGTACAAGTGGTTTCTGTTACATGATGAATTATGTAGTAGTAAATTCTGAGATTGTAGTCCACCCATCAGTGTATATGTTTTAGAGTATGTTGCACTCAATATGTAGTTTTTTGGTTTTGTTTTTTGAGACAGTCTTGCTCTGTTGCCCAGGCTGGAGTGCAGTAGAGGGATCTCATCTCACTGCAACCTCTGTATCTTGGGTTCGAGTGCTTCTCCTGCCTCAAGTAGGTGGGACCACAGGCACGCACCACCATGCCTGGCTAATTTTTATATTTTTAGTAGAGATGGGGTTTTGCCGTGTTGGTCAGGCTGGTCTCGAACTTCTGAGCTCAAGTAATCTGCCCGCCTCGGCCTCCCAAAGTGCTGGGATTACAGGCATGAGCCACCGCGCCTGGCCCCAGTGTGTAGTTTTTTGTCCCCCCCTCCCTGCCCTCCCCTTTCTGAATCTGTGAAGTCCGTTATGCCACTCTGTATGCCTTTGCATACCCATGGCTTAGCTCCCACTTAGAAGTGAGAACATGTGGTTTTTGGTTTTACATTCCTAAGTTACTTCACTTAGAATGATGGCCTCCATCCAAGTTGCTGCAAGACATTATTTTACTCTTTTTTATGGCTGAGTCATATTCCATGGTGTTTATATACCACATATTCTTCATCCACTCATTGGTCAATGGGCACTTAGGTGGATTCCATATCTTTCAATTGTGAATTGTGCTGCTATAAACATACATGGGCATGTATCTTTTTTATTTTATTTTATTTGAGGCAGAGTCTTGCTCTGTCATCCAAGCTGGAACGCAGTGGTGCAATCTCACTGCAACCTCCAGCTCGCAGGTTCAAGTGATTGTCCTGCCTCAGCCTCCCAAGTAGCTGGGACTACAGGCATGCACCACCATGCCTAGCTAATTTTTGTATTTTTAGTAGAGATGGGCTTTCACCATGTTGGCCAGGCTGGTCTTGAACTCCTGACCTCTAGTGATCTGCCCTTCTCGGCCTCCCAAAGTGTTGGGATTACAGGCGTGAGCCACTGCACCCAGCCCACAAGTGTCTTTTTCATATAATGGCTGTCTTTTCTTTGGGTAGATACCCAGTAGTGGGATTGCTGGATCGAATGGTAGATCTACTTTTAGTTCTTTGAGGAATCTCCATACTGTTTTCCAAAGATGTTGTACTAATTCACATCCCCACCAGCAGGGTATCAGTGTTCCATTTTCACCACATCCACACCAACATCTATTGGTTTTTTTGAATTTTTATCAATGGCTATTCTTGTGGGAGTAAAATGGTATCTCATTGTGGCTTTAATTTGCATTTCTTTAATGATTAGTGATGCTGACCATTTTTTCATATGTTTCTTGGCCACTGGAATATCTTCTTTTGAGAAATGTCTATTCATATCGTTGGGATGCTTTTCGGTGGGATCATTTGTTTTCTTCTTGCTGATTTCTTTGAGTTCCTTATAGGTACTGTATAATAGTCTTTTGTGGATGCCTAGTTTGCAAATATTTGCTCCCATTCAGTGGGTTGTCTATTTATTCTGATAATTATTTCCTTTGCTGTACAGAACATGTTTAATTTACTCAGGTCCCATATATTTATTTATTTTTGAGACAGTCTCACTCCATCTCCCAGGCTTCAGTGCAGCAGCACGATCTCAGCTCACTGCAATCTCCACCTCCCAGGCTCAAGCAATTCTCCTGCCTCAGCCTCCTGAGTAGCTGGGATTACAGGCATCCAACACCATACCTAGCCGATTTTTGTATTTTTAGTAGAGATGGGATTTCATCATGTTGGTCTGGAACTCCTGATCTCAGGATCCACCCACTTGGGCCTCCCAAAGTGCTGGGATTACAGGTGTGAGCTACCATGCCTGTTCCCATACATCGTATGTTTACTTTTGTTTTTGTTGCATTTGCTTTTGGGCTCTTGGTTGTGAACTCATTGCCTAAGTCAACGTCTAGAAGAGTTTTTCTGATGTTATCTTCTAGAATTTATATGACTTCTGGTCTCATATTTAAGTCTTTGTTGCAAATTCACATTGAATTTGTGAGCTGATTTTTGTATAAGGTGAGAAATAAGGATCCAACTTCATTCTCCTACATGTGGCTTGCCAGTTATCCCTGCACCATTTGTTGAATAAGGTGTCCCTTCCTCCACTTTATATTTTTGTTTGCTTTGTCGAAGATCAGTTGGCTGTAAGTATTTGGCTTTATTTCTGGGTTCTCTATTCTGTTCCATTGTTCTACATGCCTACTTTTATACCAGTACCATGCTGTTTTGGTAACTATAGGCTTGTAGTATAATTTGATTGGGTAATGTGATGCCTCCAGATTTGTTCTTTTTGCTTAGTCTTGCTTTGGCTATGCGGGCTCTTTTTTGGTTCATATGAATTTTAGGATTGTGGCTGGGCATGGTAGCCACACATCTGTAATCCCAGCACTTTGGTAGGCCAAGGCGGGTGGATCACCTGAGGTCAGGAGTTTGAGACAAGCCTGACCAACATGGCGAAACCCTGTCTCTACTAAAAATACAAAAATTAGTCAGTCATGGTGCATGCACCTGTAATCCCAGTTATTCGGGAGGCTGAGGCAGGAGAATTGCTTGAACCTGGGAAGCAGAGGTTGCAGTGAGCCGAAATCGGCCATTGCACTCCAGCCTGGGTGACAGAGCGAGACTATGTCTCAAAAAAAAAAAAAAAAAAAAGAATTTTAGGATTTTTTAGTTCTGTGAAAAATGATAGCATTTTGATGGGAATTACATTGAATTTGTAGATTGCTTTTGTCAATATGGTCATTTTCACAATATTGATTCACATGAGCATGGGATGTGTTTCCATTTGTTTGTGTCGTCTATGATTTCTTTCAGCAGTGTTTTGTAGTTTTCCTTGTAGCGGTCTTTCACCTCCTTGGTTAGGTATATTCCTGAGTATTTTATTTTATTTTATTTTTGCAGCTGTTGTAAAAGAGGTTGAGCTCTTGATTTGAATCTCAGCTTGGTCATTGTTGGTGTACGTAGCATTGCTACTGATTTGTGTACATTGATTCTGTATCCTGAAACTCTACTGAATTCATTCATCAGATCTAGGAGCTTTTTGGATAAGTCTTTAGGGTTTTCTAGGTGTACAGTCATATCATCAGTGAACAGTAACAGTTTGACTTCCTCTTTACCAGTTTAGATGCCCTTCATTTCCTTCTCTTGTCTGATGGCTCTGACTAGGACTTCCAGTACTATGCTGAATACAAGTGGTAAAAGTGGGCATCCTTGTCTTGTTCTAGTTCTCAGGGGGAATGCTTTAAACTTTTCCCTGTTCAGTGTAATGTTGGCTGTAGGGTTTGTCATAGATGGCTTTTATTACATTGAAGTATGTCTCTCGTATACCGATTTTGTTGAGGGTTTTAATCATAAAGGGATGCGGGATTTTGTGAAATGCTTCTGCATCTCCTATTATTTTTGTTTTTAATTCTGTTTCTGTGATGTATCACATTTGTTGACTTGTGTATGTTAAGCCATCCTTGCATTACTGGTATGAAACCCACTTGATCACATCATGGCAGATTTCAAGCTACCAACATGAGGTCACTGAGCACAGAGTTGGAAGACGGGTACAAAATTAGCTCTCACAACAGACTGTAACCCATGGCTGCCATTTCTACTAAAGAGATGTCCCTGCAGGTAATCTGTATTTTCTATAACTGCTGACTTTACTGTACAGTTAAACATCCCCCCTGCCTCTGTTCTTTTGCAGCCCTGTTACTGAGGCTGCAACAAAGTTTGCAAAGGGAACGTCCTGCCCTGAAAGGTAAGCATCCTACTTTGTCATAAATCCCTAGTGATAGTGTAGACTGCACACTGGCTTGAAGCCAGCCATTGTCCTGAAAACTGTACGTGTCTGATTCATGTAGTGCTCCTTTGGGAATGGAGAGGAACATGGACTCTCACAGGTACCCAAGGCCACGCAGCCAGGTGGAAGCAGGATCAGAGTTCAAACTGACATGCTGTAACCATATGCATGTAGGGTATATCTATGCACTGTAACCATGTGCATAGATATACCCTAGGTATGCCTAGGATCCAAGTGTCAGAAGCAGAAAATGGGAACAGCCTGAGGCAATTAGCAAATTGAGAGGAAAAATACTTCCCAAAACCACATGGGCTGAGAGTCTTGAAGGAGCCAGACTTGACCCATGGTGGGAGTATGGAGAACAAGAAGAGAGTATCAGATGAATTCTGTATAGAGAAGTTAGATTATATTATGGAGGAGACTATATTTGTTCAGGAGACACTGTACTGCACAAAGAAACCACAAATTGCTATGACTTAAGACACAAAGGGTTTATATTTTGCTCACCCAAAAAGCAATATGGGTTGAGTGTTCCTACAGGGCAGCTTGGCTCCATGTGGGGACTTAGGCATGCAAGCTGCTTGCATCTCTTTTTTCTTTCTTTTCTGTTTTTTTTTTTTTTTTTTTTTTCTTTTTTTAAAGACAGAGTCTAGCTCTGTCGCCCAGGCTGGAGTGCAGTGGCACTATCTCGGCTCACTGCAACCTCTGCCTCCCAGGTTCAAGCTTTTCTCCTGTCCCAACCTCCCAAATAGCTGGGATTACAGGCACCTGCCATCACACCTGTCTAATTTTTGTATTTTTAGTAGAGGCGAGTTTTCACTATGTTACCCGGGCTGCTCTCGAACTCCTGACCTCAAGTGATCTGCCTGCCTGGGCCTCTCAAAGTGCTGGGATTATAGGCACGAGCCACCACGCTGGGCCAAGCTGCTTGAATCTCATTGCTTCTCCTCTTGGCACAAGGTCTCCTTGTCTGTTCTATGAGAGGAGAGAGCTGGAGAGCCACAGAAGGCCTTTTGTAGCCAGGCCTGGAAGTAGCGGGCACCAGCTCCACACACCTTCTGTTGGCCAGGATCAGTCACATGGCCCCAGCCTAACTACAGCGGAGGCTGACAAAGGTAGTCTCCCTTCCATTTGTGGAAGATGCAACTGTGGTGAACACAGCAGGGTACTCTTGCTTTTTCACAGGCCAACAGTCAGGTACGAAGTGAAGGTAGGTCCTGAGCACAGCCCTGTATCCACTTCATGCCTCGCTCCCTGTTTTAGTTGTGAAGGCTGCTAGAGAAAAGTGCCATACATAGGCTGGCTGGCTTAGCCACAACAGAGATTTATTTCTCAGTTCTGGAGGCTGGAAGTCCAAGATCAGAGTACCAGTAGGGTTGGATTCCTGGGAACCCGCTTCTGGGTTGCAGAGAGCCAACTTCTTGCCACATGACATGCTTTAATATTGTTTTTTGACATCAGCATTCACCATATGCTGGTTATAGACAAGTCTGGAAGGAGAATCTATCTCCAACCTACAAATGGCTAACGAATGTTATGGGATGGTAGGCTGGTGGCTGTGCCACTGCACTCCAGCCTGGGTGACAGAGTGAGAACCTGTCTCAACAACAACAACAAAGAAATATCAACCCCAAGGTGATGATATTAAGAGATGGGGCCTTTGGGAGGTGTTGAGAGCATGAGGGTAGAGCCCTCTTGATTCGGATTAATCTCTTATAAAAGAAGCCTCAGAGAGCTCACTCCAAGGAATGTGGTGAAGACTGAAGGGTAGAATTTATGCAAAATGCTCCAAGATAAGCCTGGCAGGTGATGTTCTCAGCAAATGTGAGCAGAGCTATTATCAGTGTGTGTGTGAGAGAGAGAGTTGAGCATCATCTAATTCATGAGCGTGGATAAAAATAAAAGAGGGGGTGCTGGGCATGGTAGCTCAATGCCTGTAATCCCAGCACTTTGGGAGGCCGAGGCGGGTGGATCACCTTGAGGTCAGGAGTTCTAGACCAGCCTGGCCAAAATGGTGAAACCCTGTCTGTACTAAAAATACAAAAATTAGCCGGGCCTGGTGGTAGTGCACGTCTATAGTCCGAGATACTCCAGAGGCTGAGCCAGGGGATTCGCTTGAAACTGGGAGGCAGAGGTTGCAGTGAGCTGAGATTACCCCATTGCACTCCAGCCTGGGCAATAGAGCAAGACTCTGTCTCAAATAAATAAATAAATAAATAAAGAGGAGAAGACTTTGCCTCAAACCTTGAAGAAGATGAGCATGTAAAAGATGAGTAGAGGTGGAGGCAGAGATGAAGGAGCTGGAAAAAAGAGGCCAGAAAGTCAGAGAGAGCAAGGTAACATGGAGGTCAGCAGAAGGCAAGGGGAGAGAGGGTCACCTGGAGAAGGAGGTCACCTCGGGAGGAACCGCAGGGCATTGCAGAAGGTGAGGCAGAGCAGGGTCTGTGGTGTTCTTGGCAGGGTACTTAGACAGCATCTGAGACCACCTGGGTTTCTTGACGTAGATGAAGGCAGTGAGCCTAATTACAACTGGCTGACTGAGATGCTCGAGAATTGGACCAGGACCTCCCTGGAAAAGCAGGAGCAGCCCGATGAGGACCCTGAAAGTAAAGGTACCGTGCCTAGTGTAATAAGTGTCATCAACAGTAAGTGCCACCAACCTTCTCTCTCCTCTTGCTCTTCCCCACCCCTGTGGGCCAGTCCTGCAGGGGATATGACCAGATGTCCCGCTGGTACAGTTTGGATGCTTGCTCCCTTCCAAATCTCATGTTGAAATATAATCCCCCAATGTAAATTAGTTCAACCATTGTAGAAGACAGTGTGGCAATTCCTCAAGGATCTAGATCCAGAAATGCCATTTGACCCAGCAATCCCATTACTGGGTATATGCCCAAAGGAATAGAAATCATTCTGTTAGAAAGATACAGGCACGTGTATGTTCACTGCAGCACTATCCACAATAGCAAAGACATGGAATCAACCCAAATGCCCGTCAATGATAGACTGGATAAAGAAAATGTGGTACATATACACCATGGAATACTGTGCAGCCAGAAAAAGGAACAAGATCATGTCCTTTGCAGGGACATGGGTGGAGCTGGAAGCCATTATCCTCAGCAAACCAATGCAGGAACAGAAAACCAAACACCACATGTTCTTACTTATAAGTGGGAGCTGAATGATGAGAACACATGAACACAGGGAGGGGAACAGCACACACTGGGGCCTGTTGGGTGTAGGTGGGGAGAAGAAGAGCACCAGGATAAATAGCTAATGAAACAGGGCTTAATACCTAGGTGATGGGTTGATAGGTACAGCAAACCACCATGGCACACGTTTACCTGTGTAACAAATCTGCATGTCCTGCACATGTATCCCAGAACTTAAAATTAAATTAAAAGAAAAAGAAACGTAATCCCCAGTGTTGGAGGTGGGGCCTGGTGGGAGGTGATTGGATCAGGGGGACGGATCCCTCCTGAATGGCTTAGCGTCATCCTCTTGGTGATTAGTGAGTGCTTGCTCTGAGTTTATGTGAGATACAGTTGTTTAGAAGTGTGCGGCACCGTCCCCCTCGCTCTCTTCTCCTCTTCCCGACAAGTGATGTACCTGCTCTCCCTTCACCTTCCATCATGATTGGAAGCTTCCTGAGGCCCCACCAGAAGCAGATGCCAGCACCATGCTTCCTGTACAGCATCCAGAGCTGTGAGCCAATTAAACCTCTTTTCTTTATAAATTATCCAACCTCGGGTACTTCTTTATAGCAAAGCAAGAAAGGACTGATACGCCCACCCTCTATCCATCCACCCGGCCATCCATCCATTTGGGATGTCTTGGGTCATTAGCATGAAATAATAACTCTCCTAATAGCAGGCTGGGGGTAGGGGTGACAAAGGGGAAATGACAGACGAGGTGCCTGCCTGGAGGACTCACAGTCTAGAGGACGAGATGGAGAATAGACAGGTAAGTTCATCCCCGACTGGGCTAATTTCTATGGAGAGGGCTGGGTGCAGTGGCTCACACCTGTAATCCCAGCACTTTGGGAGGCTGAGGCAGGAAGATCACTTGACCCCAGGAATTCAAGACCAGCTTGAGCAACATAGCAAGACCCCATCTCTACAAAAATTTTTTGTAAAAAATTAGCTGGGCATGGTAATGCGTTCCTGAGACAGGATTTGGTGCTCCAGTCTGGGGGCAGAATTTCTTCTCTACAAACTGTTTTGCCCTTAAAACCTTCAACTGAGTAGATGAGGCCCACCCACATCACTGAGAATAATCTTCTTGAAGTCAACTGATTGTAGCTGTCAACCACATCTACAAAATACCTTCACAGCCACACCTAGGCTAGCGTTTGATTAAATAACTGGTTACTGTGGCCTAGCCTAGTTGACATGTTAAACCATCCTTCGAACATCCTAAGTGCTATAGGCAGACTCTCATTTATTCGTCATAAAACTACAAGGGATAGGCGTTACTCTTTTCCTGGTTTTACAGATGAGAACAGAGATATTAAGTAACTTGCTCTGGGGCCCGGTGCAGTGGCTCATGCTCATAATCCTAGCACTTTGGGAGGCCAAGGTGGGTGGATCACCTGAGGTCAGGAGTTCGAGACCAGCCCGGCCAACATGGTAAAACCCCTTCTCTACTACAAATACAAAAAAAATATTTAGCCGGGTGTAGTGGTGGGTGCCTGTAGTCCTAGCTACTCAGGAGACTGAGGCGGGAGAATCCCTTGAGCCCAGGAGGCGGAGGTTGCAGTGAGCTGAGATTGCACCACTGCACTCCAGTCTGAGACTCTGTCTCAAGAAAAAAATAAATAAATAAAAGTAACGTGCTCAGGGTCTCACAGCTAATGAGTGATGAAGTCAAATTCAAATCGGCATCTAGCTCAAGCACCCACCTCCCTACTAGCTTTGCTCTCTTACCGCTCTGCCCATGCTGTTCAGAGAAAGGATTGAGGCTAGAAAACCAGGAAGAAGGAAATCAGAGCGGGAGGCTGTGTTGCATCCTGGATGGAAAAGATACTGCATAAGGTCCTGGCAGCTGAGATTGGGAGGAGCAGAGACACTGAAAAGATGATCAGGAGGTGGAACTGGCAGGTCTTGGTGATAGTCCGGTGTGAGGGTGAGGAAGAGGCAGAAGTCTGGGGTGATGACCTGGTTTATGCCTCAGTGACTTGGCAGCCCCTTAGGCTGAGGACGGGAGCACAGGAAAATGTGCTGGGCACTTTAGAACAGCTCCTGGAACATTCTGCATCGTCCTCCCCCATGAACCTAAAGGAAACAAGCTCATTTCCCCAGGTACACAGGTGATCATACGGTCATTAAATCTCCATCTTTTCCTTGCCAACTCCCTCCACCCCAATGGCCCAAAGTCGTGTCTCAGCAGTGGCTCAATGACAGATGCTGGATCAGATGGCCAGGACCCCGAGGCCCCTGGATGCCAACCTTTCCCAGCTCGCCGGATTTGTCAGCTCTCCTGCCCTAGCAAATACCACAGGCGGGGTGGCTTCAACTAAAGGCTTTTTATTTTCTCACGGTTCTTTTTTTTTTTTTTTTTTGAGATGGAGTCTTGCTCTGTTGCCCAGGCTGGAGTGCAGTGGCGAGATCTCTGCTCACTGCAAGCTCCGCCTCCCGGATTCACACCATTCTCCTGCCTCAGCCTCCCGAACAGCTGGGACTGCAGGCGCCTGCCATCACACCCGGCTAATTTTTTGTATTTTTAGTAGAGACGGGGTTTCACCATGTTAGCCAGGATAGTCTCGATCTCCTGACTTCATGATCCGCCCACTTGGGCCTCTCAAAGTGCTGGGATTACAGGCGTGAGCCACTGCACCTGGCCTTTTTTTTTTTTTTTCTTTTTTTGAGACAGGGGTTTCCCCATGTTGTCCAAGCTGGTCTCGAACCCCTGACCTCAAGTGACCCACCCACCTGGGCCTCCCAAAGTGCTGGAATTACAGGTGTGAGTCACTGTGTCCGGCCTTATTTTCTCACAATTCTGCAGGCAGGAAGTCCAAGATCAAGGTGCCAGCGGGGCTGGTTTCTCCTGAGGCCTCTCTCCGTGGCTTGCAGATGAACGGCCGCTTTCTCACCGTATCCTCCCAGCCCGACCTTTCCTCTGTGCACATGCATTCTTCGTGTTTTCTTTGTTTTTTTTTGTTGTTTTATTTTTGTTTTTTTTTTTTGATACAATGTCTCACTCTGTTCCCCAGGCTGGAGTGCAGTGGCACAATCATAGTTCACTTCAGCCTTGAACTCCCGGGTTCAAGTGATCCTCCTGCCTCAGCCTCCTGAATAGCTGGGACCACAGGCTTGCATTAATATGCCCAGCTAATTTGCTTATTTTATTTTTTATTTTATTTTATTTTATTTTTGTAAAGATGCAGTCTTACTATCTTGCCCAAGCTGGTCTCCAACTTCTGGGCTCAAGCGATCCTCTCACCTCGGCCTCCCTAAGTCCTGGGATTACTCTGGCGCCTGGTGCTCTTCCTCTTCTCATAAAGACCCCAGTCCTATTGAATTAGGATCCCACTCTCATGACCTCAGTTATGATGAATGACTCTCTTTTTTTTTTTTTTTAGATTTTATTTTATTTTTTTATTGTTTTATTATACTTTATGTTCTAGGGTACATGTGCACAACGTGCAGGTTTGTTACATATGAATACATGTGCCACGTTGGTGTGCTGCACCCATTAACCCGTCATTTACATTAGGTATATCTCCTAATGTTATCCCTTCCCCTTTCCCCCACCCCACAATAGGCCCCAGTGTGTGATGTTCCCCTTCCTGTGTCCAAGTGTTCTCATTGTTCAATTCCCACCTAGGAGTGAGAACGTGTGGTGTTTGGTTTTCTGTTCTTGCGATAGTTTGCTGACAATGATGGTTTCCAGCTGCATCCATGTCCCTACAAAGGACATGAACTCATCCTTTTTTATGGCTGCATAGTATTCCATAGTGTATATGTGCCACATTTTCTTAATCCAGTCTGTCACTGATGGACATTTGGGTTGGTTCCAAGTCTTTGCTATTGTGAATAGTGCTGCAATAAACATATATGTGCATGTGTCTTTATAGCAGCATGATTTATAATCCTTTGGGTATATCCCCAGTAATGGGATGGCTGGGTAAAATGCTATTTCTGGATCTAGATCCTTGAGGAATTGCCACACTGTCTTCCACAATGGTTGAACTAGTTTACAGTCCCACCAACAGTGTAAAAGTGTTCCTGTTTCTCCACCTGTTGTTTCCTGACTTTTTAATGATTGCCATTCTAACTGGTGTGAGATGGTATCTCATTGTGGTTTTGATTTGCATTTCTCTGAGGGCGAGTGATGATGAGTGATGATAAGACGGAGTCTCGCTCTGTCATCAGGCTGGAGTGCAGTGGCGCAATCTCAGCTCACTTCAGCCTCCACCTCCCAGGTTCAAGTGATTCTCCTGCCTCAGCCTCCCAAGTAGCTGGGACTACAGGCGCCCGCCACCACGCCCAGCTCATTTTTGTATTTTTAGAAGAGACGGGGTTTCACCATGTCCGCCAGGATGGTCTTAATCTCTTGACATTGTGATCTGTCCACCTCGGCCTCCCAAAGCGCTGGGATTCCTGGCACGAGCCACCGCGCCCGGCTGAGAATGACCTCTTTAAAGGCCCTGTCTCCAAATACAACCCCATGGGGGATGAGGGCTTCCACGTATGACTTTGGTGGGGGCAGAAACTACTCAGTCTCCAGTACTCACCGTGGCTGTCTCGGCTTCTTTCTCTAGGCTCAGTCAGTGACTTTTTGGATTTTGTGAGAAAAACAGGCATTTGCGCTTCCAAGTGGGAATGGGGAACCACTCACAACTTCCTGTACAAACACGGTGAGAAGACCCTCCTCCCACCGCCCTGGTCTGTCCATGCATGTGAATGGGCTGGAGTAGGGGAAGGGGTGGGGCCTGGAACAATCCGAGACTGGTCCTTCACCAGAGCTTTGGAGCGGGGCTGGTGTCAAGGTGCCCAGGGGTCTGATTAGGGGAACCTTCGCTCAGTGGTGTGGTCCATACTGAAAAATGTGTGGCCTCGCTGCGAGTTCCAGTCATCGTGAAAAGCCTCACTGATGGTTTTCTCTGGTTTTGCAAAAATGCAGAAAACCCTAATTTCTTGTCAGCTAGTCCCAGGACCTGGTCTTAAAAAAAACACTTCTATGAGCCAGCGCAGTGGCTCACGCCTGTAATCCCAGCAGTTTGGGAGGCCGAGGTGGGCGGATCACTTGAGGTCAGGAGTTCAAGACCAGCTTGGCCAACATGGTAAAACCCTGACTCTACTAAAAATACAAAAATTAGCCGGACATGGTGGCGGGTGCCTGTAGTCCCAGATACTCGGGAGGCTAAGGCAGGAGAGTCGTTTGAATCCAGGAGGCAAAGGTTGCAGTGAGCCGAGATCATCCCACTGCACACCAGCCTGGAGACAGAGAGAGATACTATCTTAAAAACAAACAAACAAACAAACAAAAAACACTTGTATGGGTTTTCCCTTCATGGGGCTGACCCTGTCATTCAGGCGGAATTGATGTCAGCCTCCTGGGAACTCACACTAAGGCCATTTAATAGTCTCCATAAGCTCCAGTGTTCATGGCTGGTAGAGATCCTCTCCTATGGCCATGCCAGTCCCTGCACCACTCCTCTGTGTGTGTGTGTGTGTGTGTATGTGTGTGTGTGTGTGTGTCTTGCTCTGTTTCCCAGGTTGGGAATGCAGTGGTGCAATCATGGCTCACTGCAGCCTCGGCCTTCCCAGCTCAAGCAATCCTCCCATTTCAGCCTCCCGAGTAGCTGGGAACACAGGCACACAGCATCATGCCCGGCTAATTTTTGTTTTTATTTTCCATAGAGATGGGGTCTCACTGTGTTGCCCAGACTGATCTTGAACTCCTAGGCTCAAGCCAGCCTCCAACCTCGGCCTCCCAAAGTGCTGGGATTATAGGTGTGAGCCACCCCACACCTAGCCTTCCCCACTCTTTTGTTACAAGACTATAGTGAACATCTTTATGTTTGTGGCCCTGTTGCCCTTGTGCAACTCGGGAAAAGGTACATCTCTCAGGGGGGTGAATTCTAAAATATGCCCCCTTGGCCAGGGCTGTGTGTGGCCTGGGAAGGGAACCCTGGCTGGATGTCAGTCCTGCTCACTTTTCCCAGGGTGCTTCCTGCCAGGGACACAGGACTTGAGCTGTGTCTTTTCACCATGCCACACAGCTGCCGGGTCTTATGGCCTCAGAATACACTTTCAAGCGTCGAGTCACTGGATCATGGCAATGAGTGTTTTAGCTTCAAATTTCTCTCTGAAGGGCGTGGATGAAGTTGCTTTCTCAGTAGCAATATATGAGAGTGTAAACCAAAAGTAAAATTCTAAGCTCCCCACCACCCAACCATCTGAATGGACCTCTCCTCTCAGCCAGGGCACTCCAAAGTTAACCTGAAAAATGGGTTCAGGGTCGGGCGCGGTGGCTCAAGCCTGTAATCCCAGCACTTTGGGAGGCCGAGACGGGCGGATCACGAGGTCAGGAGATCGAGACCATCCTGGCTAAGTTGGTGAAACCCCATCTCTACTAAAAAAATACAAAAAACTAGCCGGGCGAGGTGGCGGGCGCCTGTAGTCCCAGCTACTCGGGAGGCTGAGGCAGGAGAATAGCGTAAACCCAGGAGGTGGAGCTTGCAGTGAACTGAGATCCGGCCACTGCACTCCAGCCTAGGCGACAGAGTTAGACTCTATCTCAAAAAAAAAAAAAAAAAGAATGCAACCATTTACTTCCTATCTACCTGTGACCTGGAAGCCCCCCCACTGCTTTGAGTTGTCCCACCTTTCCAGACCGAACCAGTGTTCATCTTACATGTATTGACGTCTCAGGTCTCCCTAAAATGTCTAAACCAAGCTCTGCCCCAACCGCCTTGGGCACATGTCATCATGACCTCCTGAGACTGCGTCACAGGTGTGCGTCCTTAACCTTGGCAAAATAAACTTTCTACGCTGACCGAGACCTGTCTCAGAAATACTGGGTTAACAACATTCTCACGTATGGCTGCTGAGAAGGCAGCTTTGTTTGGAACTTCACGCCAAAAACCCCATTAATTACTTCTTTAAAGACCCTGTCTCCAAATACAGTCACATTCTAAGGTAGTGGGGGCAAGGGCTTTAACATGTGTTTGTTTATTTGTTTAATTATTTATTTGGAGATGGAGTCTCGCTCTGTCACCCAGGCTGGAGTGCAGTGGCGTGATCTCAGCTCTGTACAACCTCCGCCTCATGGGTTCAAGTGATCCTCCTGGCTCAGCCTCCCGAGTAGCTGGGATTACAGGCACACGCCACCACGCCCAGCTAATCTTGGTATTTTTAGTAGAGACAGGGTTTCACCGTGTTGGCCAGGCTGGTCTCGAACTCCTGACCTCAAGTGATCCGCCCGCCTCAGCCTCCCAAAGTGCTGGGATTACAGGCGTGAGGCACCGCGCCCGGCCAGGGCTTCAACATATGAATCTGGGAAGAGACAGAAGTCCGCTCCTAGTGGGCAACCTCACAACTGCTGTCTACACTGACAATAATCATTTTCCCATCCCCCTCCCTGCCTTCCATTTACAAGTCCTGCTTTCAGTCCCTGGAAGCAGCTGATCTTCTTTCTTCCTGGGCACCGCAGGTGGCATCCGGGACAAGACAATGAGTAGCCGGAAGCACCTCCACCTGGTGGATGCTGGTTTAGCCATCAACACTCCCTTCCCACTTGTGCTGCCCCCGACTCGGGAGGTTCACCTCATCCTCTCCTTCGACTTCAGTGCCGGAGATCCTTTCGAGGTAATCGAGAAGGGCCTTGGGGCCGGTCCTGGGTGGGAGGTGGGCTGCAGTGAAGCTGACTTTGAGGAGGAACTGAGGATGCGGAAAGTGGAAAGTGGGCGGTCGGGAGGTACTGGCTGGGAAGTCCTGAGAGCCAAATCAACTCACCCATTGCTCCCGAAGCACCCGCAGTTGGCCACATCCAACGAGCTTCTGATCCAAAGCCATCCCAGACCTTCCCGGGCCCCTCTTCCTGGCAGATGACTCTCCCCACTTCTGCGCCTTGCCTGCCCATTCATACCAGTTTGACCTGCGACAATCTAGCTCCTCACCTGTGCACCTCCTTCGCCAGGCGTGCATGTCTCCAGCCCCGAGGGCGTGTCTTCCTGCTCATCTGGGCTTCCTGGGCAAATAGGGGCCCTCGATAAATGTTTGCTGAGTGAGAACATACGCAAGTATATTCGTCCTTAGCATACATTGCACCTTCACCGTGACCACTAGGATCCGTTATCCCTGCCTTCATATCCCCAGTCTGGCACTTACCAGCTGTGTGGCCTGATCCAATGTATGTAACTTCTGTGCCTCTCGGTTTCCTCAGCTGTAAAACTGGGCTAACGATGGCTCCCCCAGGAGTTGTTCTGTGGTTTAAATTAATACTTGTTAATACATGTGAAGTGTTTAGCACAGTGCCTACCATTTACTGTGGGGTTTATAAACATTTTCCTCCTCTTCTTTCCTCTCCTCTCCTCCCCTCCCCTCCCCTTCTCTGCCCTGCCCTGCCCTGCCCTCCTTTGGAGACTGGGTCACACCCTATCGCCCAGGCTGGAGTGCAGTGGTGTGATCATAGCTCACTGCAGCCTCAACCTCCTGGGCTCAAGTGATCCTCCCACCTCACCCTTCCAAGTAGCTGGCACCGCAGGCACACACCACACCAGGCTGGTTTTCTAAACTGTTTTAGAGACAGGGTCTTGCTATGTTGCCCAGGCTGGTCTTGAACTCCTGGCCTCACGCAATTCTCCTACCACCCAAGGCTAGGATTACAGGCACAAGCCACCCTGCCCAGCTATTTTCTTTAAAAATATATACACATACAATATACATGTACATAATATTTAACTATTACATGATATATATCAATACATAGTAGTATATATAAAATAATCATGGTAAAACATATCATCTATTATATTTATGTGTAATGTAATATATACTTATATTCACACACATCTATCAGTTTACATTCTGTAATATGAATTAGGAACATCCATCCTCCTCCCCAGGCCATGAGCCAAAACCCACTTGTCACCATCTTTCTAGACCCTGGGCCCTGGAATACCCAGGCTTTCTGGTCTTAGGATTTCTGCTGAAATAAAGATCCCAAGACAATATGATAAAGCTGGAACTATCAAGGTCTTGGCAGTCCTTTTCTGCCAAATCTCTGCTGCATGACCCCGAGCGATAGGCCTAACCTCTGAGCCTCAGTTTTCTCATCCTGAAAATGGGAATCACATCATCTGGCTCACAGGAGATCTGCAGAGCGTCTGCACCATGCCTGGTCCACAGCTGGTGTTCAGGATGAACAACAATGCGTATCTGGTGATGATGAGAATAGCAAGAGTCATGGTAAGAAAAACAGCAGCATTTGTTAAACTTCAATCAAAGATGACTTCGGAGACCTACGCTGTCCAGTACTGTGGTTGCCAGCCACATGTGGCATTTGAGCACTTGAGATGTGCCTGGCCCAAGATGAGGTGTGCTGTGAGGATAAAATACACCTCGGATGTCAATGACCGCGTATGGAAAACGCACGTAGAAGACCTTATTCATGATTGGTATATTGACGTACTAGGCAGGTTTCTCCAGAGGGACAGAACCACTAGGACCTATGTCTAGATGAAAGGGAGTTTCGTGATCACAAGGTGGAGCCCTACAATAGGCCGTCTGCAGCTGAGGAAGAAACAAACCAATAATGCCTCAGTCCGAGTCTGAAAGCCTCAAAAGTAGGGAAGCCCAGCCGGGCGCAGTGGCTCACGCCTGTAACCCCAGCACTTTGGGAGGCTGAGGCAGGTGGATCACCTGAGGTCGGGAGTTCAAGACCAGCCTGGCCAACCTGGTGAAACCCCATCTCTACTAACAATAGAAAATGTAGCTGGGCGTGGTGACAGGTGCCTGTAATTCCAGCACTTTGGGAGGCTGAGGCAGGAGAATCACTTGAACCCAGGAGGCGGAGGTTGCAGTGAACCAAGATTGTGCCATTGCACTCCAAGCTGGGCAACAAGAGCAAAACTCCATGTCAAAAAAAAGAAAAAAAAGTAGGGAAGCCCACGGTGCAGCCTTCAGTCTGTAGCCAAAGGCCCTAGAGTCCCTGGCGAGCCTCTGGTGTAAATCTAAGCGTCCAAAGGCCAAAAAACCTGGAGTGTGATGTTCAAGGGCAGGAAGCATCCAGCACAGGAGAAAGATGAAAGCCAGAGGACCCAGCAAGCCAGCTTCTCCCACCTTCTTCCGCCTGCTTTGTTCTAGTCACACTGGCAGCCAACTGGAGGGTGCCCACCCACACTGAGGGTGGGTCTCCCTCTCCCAGTCCACCGACTCAAATGCTCATCTCCTCTGACAGCACCCTCACAGACACACCCGGAAACAATAGCAGCTTTCTAGGCACCCTTCAGTCCAATCAAGTCGACACCTAATATTCACCATCACAATTGATTACACATCAAGGCAGTCATACTTTTGACATATTGCATGAGATAAAACTTTTTCCTTCCAATGTGCTTGATGTAATTGGGTGGTTACAAATTAATAAACAGAAATTTAAGCAAGATATATCTATAACAATTTAACGGAACCTGATCATCTAAGTTTTATTCATTTTTCTCAAATTCATCTTTAATTATTTCCATGATGGGGCTTGTAAGAAAACTAACCAACATGTAGATGCTATAGTTGAATGTCAAATCTTTTTTTTTTGTTTGTTTTTGAGATGCGATCTTGGCTCACTGCAACCTCTGCCTCCTGGGTTCAAGTGATTCTCTTGCCTCAGCCTCCCGAGTAGCTGGGATTACAGGCGTGTGCCACCATGCATGGCTAATTTTTGTTTTTTTAGTAGAGACAGGGTTTCACCATGTTGGCCAGGATGGTCTTGAACTCCTGACCTCAGGTGATCTGCCCACCTCAGCTTCCCAATGTGCTGGGATTATAGGCGTGAGCCACAATGCCCAGACAAATGTCAAATCTTTAAAAGGTACTTATGAGAGTAAATTCCTCTGTAATACAATTATGAAGCACCTTCATGAGATTTCTGTTTTATGTGTAGAAAAGTGGCTGGGTGTGGTGGCTCACTCCTGTAATCTCAGTGCTTTGGTAGGCCAAGGTGGGAGGATCACTTGAAGTCAGCAATTTGAGACCAGCCTGAGCAACATAGCAAGACCCCACCTCTACACAAATTTTTTTTTTTCTTTTGAGACGGAGTTTTGCTCTTGTTGCCCAGGCTGGAGTGCAATGGAGAGATCTGGGCTCACTGCAACCTCCGCCTCCCAGGTTCAAGCGATTCTCCTGCCTCAGCCTCATGAGTTGCTGGGATTACAGACATGTGCCACCATGCCCGGCTAATTTTTGTATTTTTAGTAGAGATGGGGTTTCTCCATGTTGGTCAGGCTGGTCTTGAACTCCTGACCTCAGGTGACCCGCCCACCTCAGCCTCCCAAAGTGCTGGGATTACAGGCGTGAGCCACCACGTCTGGCCAAAAAATATTTTTTTTAATTAGATGGGCATGGTGGCTCACACCTGTAGTCCCAGCTACTTAGGAGGTTGAGATGGGATCCCCTGGGCCTAGGAGCTTGAGACTGCAGTAAGCCATGATTGCACCCTGCACTCCAGCCTGGGTGACACAGCAAGATCCTGTCTCTAAAGATAAGTATATGTAGGAAAGTGTTAGAGTCAAATATTCAACTCAATATAAAATAAGGAGAAGAGGCCGGGTGCGGTGGCTCACACCTGTAATCCCAGCACTTTGGGAGGCAGAAGCGAGTGGATCACCCGAGGTCAGGAGTTCGAGACCAGCCTGGCCAACATGGCGAAACCCTAAATACAACTAAACTAAAAATACAAAAATTAGCCAGGCATGGTGGCACGTGCCTATAATCCCAGCTACTACGGAGTCTGAGGCAGGAGGATCACTTGAACCTGGGAGGCAGAGGTTGCAGTGAGCTGAGATTGTGCCACTGTACTCCAGCCTAGGCAACAGAGTGAGACTCTGTCAAAAAAAAAAAAAAGAAGAAGAGGAAGAGAAAGAGGAAGAAGGAGGAGGAGGAGGAGAAGGAGGAGGAGGAGGAGAAGGAGAAGGAGAGGAAGAGGAAGAAGGAGGAGGAGGAGGAGAGGAACAGGAAGGAGAAGGAGAAGAAGAAACACTTGTTGAGACTGCAACTCCTTTTGCTAATAGGTGGTTTCTAGTTGTAACACTAGTCCGCTGAACAAAGAAGTCACTTTTGAGTACATAAGGAAAAATAACCACATGCTAAAAGGATAAGACATTCCTCTGACATCTTTACTGGGCCATCTCTTCCTCTAACACTTCAGAAGCTTAGAAATTTAAAGTATTCTTTTGTTAGCTGCAAGAACAAGATAAAGGAGAAATGTCCTTTTTCTTGAGATCGCAACTATGAAGTCATGTGGTTATGCAAAGTCTGCATTTGTGTGCAAAACACACACTGATCTTTTTTTAACTTGTAAGTTCAGGGGTTCAAGTACAGGTTTGTTCCAAAGGTAAACTTGTGTCCTGGGGATTTGTTGTACCGATTATTTCATCATCCAGGTATTAAGCCTAGTATCCATTAGTTATAGCTCCTGGTCCTCTCCCTCCTCCCACCCTCCAGCCAGTGCTGCGCCCCAGTGTGTGTTGTTCCCCTCTGTGTGTCCATGTGTTCTCATCATTCGGCTCCCACTTAGAAGTGAGAACATGCAGTATTTGGTTTTCTGTTCTTGGAAAAGCACTTATACATTTATCTTTTTTTTTTTTTTTTTGAGACAGAGGCTCCTTCTTATCACCCAGACTGGAGTGCAATGGTGCTATCTGGGCTCACTGCAATCTCTGCCTCCCATGTTCCAGTGATTCTCCTGTCTCAGCCTCCTGAGTAGCTGGGACTACAGGTGCCTGCCACCATGCTTGGCTGATTTTTTGCAATTTTAGTAGGGATGGGGTTTCACTGTGTTAGCCAGGATGGTCTCGATCTCTTGACCTCGTGATCTGCCCACCTCAGCCTCCCAAAGTGCTGGGATTACAGGCATGAGCCGTGAGCCACCATGCCCAGCCTATCTTTTTGGGTTTTTTTTTGTTTGTTTCTTTTTTTGAGACAGAGTCTCACTCTTGTCGCCCAGGCTGGAGTGCAATGGCGCTATCTGGGCTCACTGCAACCTCTGCCTCCCGGGTTCAAGCGATTGTCCTGTCTCAGCCTCCCGAGTAGCTGGGACTACAGGCGTCCGCTACCATGCCCGGCTAATTTTTGTATTTTTAATAGAGATGGGGTTTCACCGTGTTGGCCAGGTTGGTCTCAAACTCCTGACCTCAGGTGATCTGCCCGCCTCGGCCTCCCGAAGTGCTGGGATTGCAGATGTGAGCCACCACGGCTGGCCCACATTTATCTTTATTCTCCTTGCTTAGTTTTGTCAGTTAGCTTGCAGAACTGAACGGATGCCTTTCTAAGACAGAGACTGACATGTGTTTTATGTAACATCAGTAACCTCAGTGCTACAGTAATGAGACATGCAGTGTCCTTTTGCTCTGCTTCAAGACAGCAGGGAAGGAGGTCATAGGAAAAAGAATAAATGAAATTTGTTACAACTGAGAAACTACTTGTCATTAAGTTTCCCCATGCTGTCACCTTTATTTAAAATTTATTTTTAAAATTAATTTATCCTACTTCTTTTTGCTGTCTTCAAGTGCAGCAAGTAGACAATAGAAAAGTACTTTATGGCCAGGCGCGGTGGCTCACTCCTGTAATCCCAGCACCTTGGGAAACCGAGGCGGGTGGATCACCTGAGGATCCCCGGCCTGACCAACATGGAGAAACCCCGTCTTTACCAAAAATACAAAATTAACCGGGCATGGTGGCACATGTCTGTAAACCCAGCTACTCGGGAGGCTGAGGCAGGAGAATCGCTCGAACCCGGGAGGCAGAGGTTGCGGTGAACCGAGATTGAGCCATTGCACTCCAGCCTGGGCAACAAGAGTGAAACTCCATCTCAAAAATAAGAAAACAAAAGAAAAGTACCTTCACGGTGACATTGTATTTCTGTTACACAGTGATGATGGAGAATATCTCATTTATCTTCCAAATACCCCTGTGAGGTGGATATTACAGAGCTCCTTTGCAGAGATGGTGAGATGCACCCATACCACACATCTCTCTGGGCCCCTGGGCTCGAATGGTCTTCCCATCTCAGCTTCCTGAGTAGCTAGGGCTACCCGTGCATGCCCCTGTGCCTGGCTAATTGAAAAAAAAAAAATTATTGTAGAGATGAGGTCTCCAGCATCTTTCGGTGGCAGAGCTGGGATTCAAAACCTCATCTAGGCACCATTTTCCTTGTCCTCTGAGTCCCACAGCCCCCAGCCCGAAAGGTTACTCTCTAACCTTGCAAATATTGTCTCCAGGTGGGCTCGGTGTGCGAGTGATGGCAGAGGCTCACTCCTTCCCTTACAGAAGATGTTGTCCCTGTCCAAGCTGAGCCCTGCTCTGTCGTGTGTCTGGACTGTTAGCTGAGGTCCTGTCAGGTCTCCAGGCCCCGGGGGTCTTCTGGGAGAGGTCTTGCAACAGTTTCTTATTGCCTCCTTCTCAGACCATCCGGGCTACCACTGACTATTGCCGCCGCCACAAGATCCCCTTTCCCCACGTAGAAGAGGCTAAGCTGGATTTGTGGTCCAAGGCCCCCGCCAGCTGCTACATCCTGAAAGGAGAAACTGGACCAGTGGTGATGCATTTCCCCCTGTTCAACACAGATGCCTGTGGAGGTAGGTGCAGGGGAGAAGCAGGTTGAGAAGCCACCTGTGTTAGTCTATTCTCACACTGCTAATAAAGACATGCCTGAGACTGGGTAATTTACGAAGGAAGGTTTAATTGACTCACAGTTCAGCATGGCCGGAGAGGCCTCAGGAAACTTACAATCATGGTGGAAAGAGAAGGGGAAGCAAGGCACCTTCTTCACAAGGCAGCAGGAAGGAGAAGTGAGTGCCAGCAGGGGAATTGCCAGATGCTTATAAAACCATCAGATCATTCGGGCGCGGTGGCTCACGCCTGTAATCCCAGCACTTTGAGAGGCCGAGGCAGGTGGATCACAAGGTCAGGAGATCGAGACCATCCTGGCTAACACATTGAAACCCTGTCTCTACTAAAAATACAAAAAAAAAAAAAAAAAATTAGCTGGGCATGGTGTCGCGTGTCTGTAATCCCAGCTACTCAGGAGACTGAGGCAGGAGAATTGCTTGAACCTGGGAGGCAGAGGTTGCAGTGAGCCGGGATCACGCTACTGCACTCCAGCCTGGCAACAGAGCGAGACTCCTTCTCAAACAAATAAATAAATACATATCATCAAGTCTCGTGAGAACTCACTCACTGTCACGAGAACAGCATGAAGGTAACCACTTCCATGCTTCAATTACCTCCCACGACACTTGGGGATTATGGGAACTACAATTCAAGATGAGATTTGGGTGGGGACACAGCCAAACCATATCAACACCAGGCCAGGCTGAATGGATCTGCCCTGTGCCCTGGGGGACATCTCGTTATGCTCCAACATCTGATGGTCCAGTGAATCATCCTGTCCACCCTTGGGCCTGGGGGTTGCCAGGCTGCCTCTCTTAGTCTTGCGTGCCTCTGCATGTTGCTGCCTCTCTGCAGTATTCTTGTCCTACCTGAATATCCAACGCCTTCCACCTGGACATCCCACATTCCTCATCCAGTCTCAGGTGAGCAGCTGCCTGGAAGGCCTAGAATCCAGGATAGGTGGTACTCCAGGACCTGATTGTACCACTTCCCACAGTGGACTCCTTTTAGCTTGTCAATCATGTCTCCTGCGATGAGACTCCCATTAGGGATAAATTGTGTCTGTTTTCTTCCTTCATTTAACAAACACTTATTGGTTACCTATGCTGCATCAGCCGTAGTTCCAGGAGAGGCAGGCTGGAGTAGTAAAGAAGACAGGAAGCGGGGGGCCGGGCGCGGTGGCTCACACCTGTAATCCCAGCACTTTGGGAGGCCAAGTGGGGGCAGATCACCTGAGGTCAAGAGTGCAAGGCCAGCTTGGCCAACATGGTGAAACCCCATCTCTACTAAAAAATACAAAAAATTCGCCAGGCGTGGTGATGCATGCCCGTAATCCCAGCTACTTGGGAGGCTGAGGCAGGAGAATTACTTGAACCTAGGAGATGGAGGTTACAGTGACCCAAGATAGTGCCATTGCATTCCAGCCTGGGAGACAAGAGTGAGACTCTGTCTCAAAAGACTGTAAGGGGCATGGATCATAAATATATAGATAAATCCATAACCTCATGTGTCAGTAAAACTTTATTTATAAAGCCAAAGTGGTGGGCCGACTGGATTTGGTCTACAACTGTAGTTTGACAAGCCCTGATGTAAACAGACAAAATCTGCAGAATTAATTGTCCAAATTCATGAGGTATTTTCTTTATTGGTTTGGTTGTCCTTCAGATGATATTGAGGCATGGAGTGACACATACGACACATTCAAGCTCGCTGACACCTACATTCTAGATGTGGTGATGCCACTCTTGGCATTAGCCAAGATGAACGTCAGGGAAAACAAGAAGAATATCCTTAGAGAGATGAGGAACGCGGCCATGTAGGTGGGAGACCATAATCACTCTGATGCCTATACTCATTCTGTAAGTATCTGTTGGAGAACTTTCTCTGCAACAGGCAGGAGGGCTGAAGGGGTGAAAAAATATAGGTAGTTTCTCCCCCACTTGAGCTTGTGTCTCAGTAGCGGACTGATCACGAACAGGGTCAGGAGTGAATGGTTTTCGGAAGAGTGAAGCAGGCTGTGTTTGTTTGCTAAGGTTGCTGTAACAAAATACCATTGGCTGGGTGGCTTCACAGAAATTGATGATCTCATGGTACTGGAGGCTGGAAGTGTGAATTCACAGTATCAGCAGTGCTGGTTCCTTCTGGGATCTGTGAGGGAGAATTTGTTCCATGCTTGTCTCTGTGTATATTAGTCCATTTTCACATGCTATAAAGAACTACCTGAGACTGGGTAATTGATGAAGAAAAGAGGTTTAATTGGCTCACAGTTCCAAAGGCTTAAGAGGAAGCATGACTGGGAGGCCTCAGGAAACTTACAATCGTGGTGGAAGGTGAAGCGGAAGCAAGCACATCTTTAGGATGGCAGAGCAGGAGAGAGATAGAGCAAAGCAGGAAGTGCTACACACTTTTAAACAACCAGATCTCATGAGAACTCCCTCACTATCACCAGAACAGCAAGGGGGAAGTACACTCCCATCTCACCTCTCACCAGGCCCCTCCTGCAACAAGAGGGGATTACAATTTGAGATGAGATTTGGTTGAGGACACAGAGTCAAACCATATCTCTGTGAAAGGAAAATGAAATCTCATGACCCCAATTCACTGTGCCAAAAGGAAAAACTTAAGCTGTGGCTGGGCACTGTGGCTCACGTCTATAATCCCAGCACTTTTGGGAGCCAAGGCAGGAGGATCGCTTGAGCCCAGGAGTTCAAGATCAGCCTGGGGCAACATAGTGAGACCACATCTCTACAAATAATTTTAAAAATTAGCTGGCTGTGGTAGCACAGGCCTATAGTCTCAGCTACTCAGGAGGCTGAGGTGGGAGGATTGCCGGAGCCCAGGAGTTTGAGGCTGCAGTGAACTGTGATCGTACCACCCCACTCCAGGCTGAGCAACAAAGCAAGACCTTGCCTCCAAAATAAAAAATTAAAAAATTAAAAATTAAAAATTAAGCTGAAAGCTTAATTAAGTTGAGTCATGCAAGAAACTGTCTTTCCTTTTGTTCCTAGGCCACAGATATCTCCACAGATAGCTTACTCTATCGATATGGTTTGGCTCTGTGTCCGCACCCAAATCTCATCTCGAATTGTAATCCCCACGTGTCAAGAAAGGGACCTGGTGGGAGGTGATTGGATCTTGGGGGTGACTTCCCTTATGCTGTTCTCATGAGAGTGAGGGGGTTCTCATGAGATCTGATGGTTTTTAAGTGGCAGTTTCCCCTGCTGTCTCTCTCTATCTCTCTCATTCTCTCTCATCTCTCCTGCCACCCCGTGAAGAAGATGCCCTGCTTCCACCATGACTGTATTAGGTTGGTGCAAAAGTAATTGCAGTTTTGCAACTAAAAGTAATGGCAAAAACCGCAAGTACTTTCACACTGACCCAATAAGTTTCCTGAGGCCTCCCCAGCCTTGTGAAACTGTGAGTCAGTTAAACTTCTTTTGTTTATACATTACCCAGTCTCAGGTAGTATCTTTATCGCAGTGTGAGAATGGACTCATACAGTTCTAGAAGTCAGAAATCTGAAACGAGTGTTACGCAGCGAAATCCGAACTGTTAGCAGGGCCTACTTCTGTGGAGGCTCCGGGGGGAAGCTGTTCCTTGCCTTTTTCAGCTTCTAGAGGCCACCCACATTCCTTGGCTCACGGCCCCTCCTTTAGCCTCTTGCTTCTGTCATCTCATCTCCTCCTTGCTCTGACCTCCTGCCTTGCTCTTATAAGGAAAGACCTATGTGATTCCATTGGACCCACCCAGATACCCAGGATCCTCTCCTCATCTCAGGATCCTTAGCTTAACCTCATCGGCAGAGTCCCGTTTGCCATGGAAAGTCACATACTGGCCAGGAGCAGTGGCTCACACCTGTAATCCCAGCATTTTGGGAGGCCAAGGCAGGCAGATCGCTTGAGCTCATTAGTTCAGACCAGCCTGGGCAACATGGCAAGACACCATCTCTACTAAAAGTACAAAAAAATAGCAAGGCATGGTGGTGTATGCCTATGGACCCAGCTCCTTAGGAGGCTGAGGTGGGAGGATTGCTTAACCTTCGGTAGCGGAGGTTGCAGTGAGCCCAGATCAAACCACTACACTCCAGCCTAGGTGACAGAGTGAGACCTTGTCTCAAAAAAAAAAAAAAAAAAAAAAAAAAAAAGTCACATATTCATGGGCTCCAGGGATTAGGATAGGGACATCATTGGGAGCCATTATTCAGCCTGCCACAAAGACACAGGCAGGACCCAGATGACAGAAACCAGGGGAAGAGTTAGAATTTTGTTTTGCATATAGTGGGAAGCTGTTGTTGAGTTTTGAGCAGGGGAGTAGCTTTATCTGAGTCACCTTTTCAAAGGCCCGCCTGGCTCCAGTGTAGTTGGTCCCTAGACAAGATAATTAGCACCCTGAGGACCAGGTTGAGTCAGTGACCTCAGGGTTGCAAGGCAGAGGGAAGAGAAAGCCATTCTGGGCCTCTGGACCAGTTTGTGTTCCCCAGAGAGTTTCCCCAAAAGCCCTGCCTGGCATGGGGCAGGATGATTATTTCCTGCTCATCTGTCTTCTAATGAGGGGTTGTATATTAGTTTGCTGGGGCTGCCATTAAAAAGTACCACAGAGGCTGGGTGTAGTGGCTCACACGTGTAATCCCAGCACTTTGGGAGGCGGAGGTGGGCGGATCACGAGGTCAGGAGTTCAAGACCAACCTGGCCAACATGGTGAAGAAGCCCTGCTCTACTAAAAATACAAAACTTATCTGGGCGTGGTAGTCCACGCCTGTAGTCCCAGTTACTTGGGAGGCTGAGGCAGGAGAATCGTTTGAACTCAGAAGGTGGAGGTTGCAGTGATCCCAGATCGTGCCACTGCACTCCAGCCTGCTGACAGAGGGAGACTCCGTCTCAAAAAAGCACCACAGATCAGGTGACTTAAATAACAGACACTTATTGTCTCGCAGTTCTGGAGGCTGGAAGTCCAAGATCAAGGTGTGAGCAGGGGTGGTTTCTCCTGAGGCCTCTCTCCTTGGCTTGCCATTGGTGCCTCCCTGTGTCTACACGTGATCTTCCTCTGTGCCTGTCCACTCCCCACCTTCTCACCTGTAGAACTCAGGGCTTATTTATGCTTATTTGTTGACTCTCTCTCCTCATAATAAGGTGTGCAGCAGTGTGGGGTCAGGAACCACATCACTTTGCCCACCACAGTGTCCATTCTTTCATTTGTTGATTCCACAAACATTTCCTGGATGCCGACTAGATCCAGTCTGCCCAGGTCCTGCAGCCATGGCTGCACACAGGTCAGGTGAGGCTCTTGCTCTTGTAGAATGGTACCTCCTCCCGGGGGGCAACATGGCATAAACAGGTAAACAAAGGAGTCAACAGAATGGCCATGGAGAGTAAGTGCCGTGGAGACGACCGAACCTGCGGTGTGCTGAGGAGTGAAGTGAAGGCTTTTTAGGAAAGGGGCTGGGGGTCTGGGAAGGCATCCCGAGGGAGAGACCTTTCACCTGGGCCTGAATACTGAGAAGGGGTGGCCATGAGGAAGCCTTGGGGAGCAGAATTCTGTGCAAATTAAAAGTAAATGCAAAGTATCTGGAATGGGAAAGACCTTGATCTATGTCTTACCTATGTCTATAATATTTTGTACTGATATAAAGGCATATCTGAGGCTGGGTAATTTATAAAGGAAAGAGGTTTATTTGGCTCATGGTTCTGCAGGCTGTGCAAGAAGCTTGGCGCCTGTATCTACTTCTGGTGAAGGCTTCAGGGAGCATCCAATCCTGGTGGAAGGGGAAGGGGAGCTGGCGTGTTACATGGTGAGAGAGAGAAGGGAGGAAAGTACCAGTTTCCTTTTAACAACCAGATCTCAAGTGAACTAATAGAGCAAGAACTCACTCATTACCGCAGGGAAGGCACCAACCTATTCATGAAGGATCCACTCCCATGATCCAAACATCTCCCTCTGGGCCCCACCTCCAACACTGGGGATCACATTTCAACGTGAGATTTGGAGGGGATGAATTTCCAAACTATATCAGTCTATTCAAGGAACAGGAGGAAAGCTGCTGTTGCTGGATCAGGGTAGGGGAAGCGCGGAATGAAAGGTGATTGGAGACATGGACAGAGATCAGATCTTGTGAATTCTGGCAGGTATATGACATTCAATGTAGGCCAAAGAGTTAGCTCCTAGCCCAGCATCTGATACATGCTTAATAAGCATAGTGTTGGATACATAAACATTTACACGGTAAACATAGATCACAAGAGCTCCACAGGAGGAGGTGGTGGAGCTCCAGGTCTTCTCAGTTCATGAAAGAATGGATGAATGTCTTTCTCCTAAGTCATATCTGACTTGTAGAGGCTTCCAGATCTTCTAATCTTATCCAATGTGCAACACTTCCTACAAAGCACAGTGGTAACTTCTAACTTTCCTTTCTCCCCAGGCTCTATTACCCGAAGCGTTATGCCCAAAGTTGCTCCTTGGTGTAGATGAGCCTCAGCTTCCAGGGCAGTATGGGCCTGTTGGTCTACCAGGGCCCTGATGTCCACCTGGCCTTCCCTGTTCTTCACTCCCTTCAGCCACACGCTTCATGGCCTTGAGTTCACCTTGGCTATCCTAACAGGGCCAATCACCAGTGACCAGCTGGACTGTGATTTTGATAGCATCATTCAGAAGAAGGTGTCCAAGGAGCTGCAGGTGGTGAAATTTGTCCTGCAGGTCCCTTGGGAGATCCTGGAGCTGGAGCATGAGTCTCTGACAATCAGAAATATCATGTCCAATGTCCAGGTAGCCAAAATGAATGTGGTAGATCAGACCAGTGCCTTTAACTGCTCCTTTATTACTGCACTTCCAGCCAGTAGCTCTGTAGAAGTTAGCTCTGTAGAAGCAAGAGCTGGGGTTTAAGTCATGGTCTGTCTCTCCAGCCAAGTGGAGCTCTGAGAATACAACAGGTGCTCAATAAATGCTTGCTGATTAACTGATGGATTAGCTGTGCGTGTGTGTCTTGGTCTGCCACCATCCCTGCTTCGGCCCTTTTCACCCTGTGTGTACCCTTTACTTCTTCCTTTCTTCCCTTCCCCCTCTCCTTTCCATCTTCTTCCATCTGTATCTCAGCAATTCAGCATGGTGGCTCCACAGCTGGGTTTGAATCTTACTTCTGTTATCTACTCACCATGAGAACATAGACAAGATCCTTCACCTCCGTGCCCCAGTTCCATCATCTGTAGAATAGACCGTCATGGATCCTTGAAAGGCTTAACTGAGTTAATGAGTCTCAAGACCTTAGAATAATGTCTGGCACTGATGGAGTTCCAGAGCAATTATTATTCATACAGGCTTTCCAGAATTAAAGCAGGACTGTTAAGGGATGAACTGTGTGTCCCACCCCCACCAAAAGATGTGGCCATTGTTACCCCCAGTGCCTGTGAATGTGGCCTGCATGGAAATAAGGTCTTTTACCAATGTGATCAAGTGAAGATGAGGTCATTTGTGTGGACGCTAATCCACAATGACGAGTGTCCTTATGAAAAAGGAGGATTTCACCTGGCATAGTGGCTCACGCCTATAATCCCAGCACTTTGGGAGGCCGAGGCAGGTGGATCACGAAGCAAAGAGATCGAGACCATCCTGGTCAACATCACGAAGCAAAGAGATCGAGAGACTATCCTGGTCAACATGGTGAAACCCCATCTCTACTAAAAATATAAAAATTAGCTGGGCGTGGTGGCACACACCCATAGTCCCAGCTACTTGGGAGGCTGAGGCAGGAGAATGGCTTGAACTCAGGAGGCGGAGGTTGCAGTGAGCCGAGATCACGCCACTGCAGCCAGGTTCTCATAACCCTGAGCCTGGTGAGAGTGAGACTCTGTCTCAAAAAAAAAAAGAAAAAGAAAAAGAAAAGGGGGATTAGAGACAGGAGCATTATGACAAATATCTAATGCATGTGGGGCTTAAAACCTAGATGACGGGCTGATGGGTGCAGCAAACCACCATGGCACATGTATACCTATGTAACAAACCTGCACGTTCAGCACATGTATCCCAGACTTAAACATTTTTTTAAAAGGGGGGGGAATTTAAAAACAGAGACAGGCATGTGTACAGAGGGGAGGCCATGTGAACACGGAGGCAGGGATTGGGGTGAGGCATCTACAGGCCAAGGGGCTGTCAAACTATTGCCAGCAAACCACCAGTCATCCCAAAGAAGACCTTGAGAGCAGAAGGATCCAGTTCAGAATTCTGTGTTGCATTCAGTTGTGGCTTTTTTGAGACAGAGTTTCACTCTAGTTGCCCAGGCTGGAATGCAACGGCACAATCTTGGACTCACTGCAACCTCCGCCTCCTGGGTTCAAGCGATTCTCCTGCCTCAGCCTCCCAAGTAGCAGGGATTACAGGTATGCGCCACCAAGCCCGGCTAAGTTTTTTGTATTTTTAGCAGAGACGGGGTTTCTCCACGTTGGTTAGGCTGGCCTCGAACTCCTGACCTCAAGTGATCCACCCACCTCGGCCTCCAAGATTGCTGGGATTACAGGCGTGAGCCACCGCGCCCGGCCTCAGCCATGTCATCTTAGTCTCCTCCTATCTCGAATGGTTCCTCAGTCTTTCCTTGATTTTCATGACCTTGACATTTTTGAAGCTTACAGGCCAGTTATTTTGTAAACCATCCCTCCATTTGGATTCGTCTGACATCTGATTATGATGAGATTCAGGAATCTTACAGAAGCGACGCTTTGTTCTCGTGACATCCTGTCAGGTGGTGCAAAATTCCAACTTACCACATTACTGATGATGTCCACTTTGACTAAGATGGTGTTTGCCATGTTTGTCCACTATAAAGTAACTCCTTTGAAACTGGTATTTTGTAGGGAGATATTTTGAGCTCTGTAAATATCAAACTTCCCACTTGCCTTTTTATTTATCTGAGTATGGACTCCTGGTTTCCTCTGTGGTCCTCTATAATTTGTTACTATCATTATTTATTTTGACCCTCAAACTGCCCAGTATGGCCAATGGAGCTTCTTCAAGCAGACTCCTGTGTTCTTTCCACATGTCCTCATAACTCTTCGAGCAATTTCTTGCTTTAAGCATAGGATGTTTGTAGGTTCATCTTGTTCTTTTTTTGCCCTAGACATGGAATCAGCCAAATTTCCTAAGCACTCTGGTGTCATTTGATGGAGAATAGTAAATAGAAGTCAAGATTTGGATGCTAGCGGTGCTCATTTGTATGGGCCATCGCTGTTTCTACGTTCTCTTAGTGGAGAGAGCTAGAGAATATGTTTACAAATGTTCCCATACACACTGAAACTATGTGTTTATTTTTATCTCTGTATACAACTGAGATCCATGAGGACATACCAGCACCGCCAGTTACAGTCCAACACCACAGGACTCATTTGACTTTCCTCCTTTCTGTCTTAGTAACTCCCTTTTCCAACAGTGGGAGGCCTGGCCCCCATTCCCCTTACTCACCGTGTGTAGCCAATTTCCCTTCTCCTTTGCCATTTCATCCCTGTGGGAATGTCTTTCCCAGCCTAGTCTGGCTTCAACACCGTACACCATGCTATTCCCGTGAATGGACATCCTTCTGTCTCTGCTTGGGTTATGACAACCCATGCCAGATGCCCCCTGTGTGGCCTCCTCCCTAATTGCCTTACAGTGCAAACCCCTGCCCCAGACAATGGCTGCATATAAACGCCCCCACCCCACTCAGTTCATGTTCCAGCGTTGCACACCAAGCTGCCCATCTGTGGATTTATTCCCACCTTCTCAAGCCCCAACACCCTGGATCATGCTGCCCTCTATGTGGACTCCTCCTCACCCCACTACCCCATTGGAATGCTGGCTCCCCATACCAGATGGCCCCCAGCCCCCTCCTCCCCTAACCCTACCTAGTGTGGAGCCTCAAAACCCCTTTGGGCTTTGACACCACCATAACTTCTCACCCTCCCTGACACCCCCACCTTGCTTTTCCCCTCTAAATCATTCAGGAAAGACAGAAGGAAAGAGATGAACAGAGAAAGAGAAAATGCCATGCTCTTAGTCACTGTGCACGCCCACTTCATGAAGTCCACGCTTGCATCCTGCTCACTCGCACACATTCCCAACTCACCCAGGAAAGCTCCCTGAGGCCAGGCGCCCTGTGCTCTCCATCTCACTGCCTAGAAGCCAGTCTTGGATTGACCCTTCACATGCTTGTTGGAACATTGAATAAATGATGCCCTCTGCTCTAATCCCCTCCCCCATTTTCTTTTATTTTCTTTCTCTCTTTCTTTCTTTCTTTTCTTTCTTTCTTTCTTTCTTTCTTTCTTTCTTTCTTTCTTTCTTTCTTTCTTTCTTTCTTTCTTTCTTTCTCTCTCTCTCTCTCTCTCTCTCTCTCTCTCTCTCTCTCTCTCTCTCTTTCTTTTCTTTCTTTCTTTTTTTTTTTTGAGACAGGATCTCACCATGTCAACCAGGCTGGAGTGCAATGGTGCAATCATAGTTCACTGCAGCCTCAAACTTCTGGGATCTAGCGATCCTCCCATCTCTGCCTTTGGAGCAGCTGGGATTACAGGTGTGAACCACCATGCACGGCTATTTTTTTATTTTTTGAAAGACAATGTCTCTGTGTGTTGCTCAGGTTGGTCTCAAACTCCCAGGCTCAAGTAATCCTCCCACCTCAGCCTCCCAAAGCACTGGGACTACAGATATGAGCACCACATCCAGCCTCTAATTCCCGTTTTTAAAATGCACCTTCCAATTCCACTCTGGGGATAAAGGAGTCACAGAGCCTGACTCTGGCTCTCCCCACCCATATCATTCAAGCCAGATGGGGAGGCAGGGACAGCTCTGATCCCTCCCCAACCGGGTAGAGATTTCCAGCCCAGCTGTCACAGCTCTAAGACACAGGGACCGAGGGAGAAGCCAAGAGAGGCAGGAAGAGGTGGCAAAGGAGTGCTACAGAAGATAAGGAGGCTGAGCTCCGACAGGGAGCAGGGAGGAGGGGCCATCTTGAGACTGGTGCCCTGTGAGCTCCACCCCACCCCTCCATGCAGTTCCCCATGGGCCCCGCCTGCATCTTCTTGAGGAAAGGCATTGCTGAGAAACAGCGGGTGAGGTGGGGAGTAAGAGGGAAGGGTGGTGGGCAGGGCAAGGGGAGCAGGAGTGTGGGACAAAGAAGAGGACATGATGGTGCCATAGAACCAGGGGAACAGGCTGATAGAGCAGGAGCTGAGAGGTACAAGAATTCCAAGGACTGTGGTGGGGTCATGTAAGCCAGTGAGATAAATGGGTAGGGGTAAAAATCAGAAGTCAGGAGCAAAAAGAAGGAGAGAAAGGGAAGAAATATGAAAAGGGAAGTGGGATGATGTCATTGTTGAGATTACCCTTATCCTTTTCTATGGATGCTCATTGTGATAACAGTGGTGATGGTGGTGATGATGGTGGTGGTGGTGGTGATGATGGTGATGGTGGTGATGATGGCAGTGGTGGTGATAATGATGGCATTGATGATGGTGGTGATAATGATGGCATTGATGATGGTGGTGATAATGATGGCATTGATAATGATGGCAGTGGTGATGGAGGTTAATGATGGCACTGATGATGGTGGTGATAATGATGGCAATGATGATGGTGGTGATAATGACAATACTGATAATGATGGCAGTGGTGATGGAGGTAATGATGGTGGTGATGGTGGTGATGATGGTGATGGTGGTGATGATGATGCTGGCAGTGGTGATGGTGGTGGTGATGGTGATGATGGTGGTGATGGTGGTGATGGTGGTGGTGGTGGTGATAATGATGGTAGTTGTGGTGATGGTGATGATGGTATTGTATTTATAGTGTGTGGTGGTGGTGATGATGGTGGTGGTGGTGATGGTGATGGTGATGATTGTGGTGATGGTTATGATGATGGTGATGATGGTGGTGGTGATGGTGATGATGGTGGGATGATGATGATGGTGATGAATGGTGGATGGTGGTGATGATGGTGGTGGTGGTGT